CTCTATTACACATGAAAATAAACTTTATAGACCACTTGAGGTAATGACTAAAGAACCTGCTGGGGATGTGTCCCAGCTTTGAGTTAGCAACAATTTTAAATGTTTGAAAGACTTTTGTGATCATAATGTTAACAATAAACATGACGTTATGAGATACTTAACTAAGGACTTACACACAAGTTTTTCAGAAAAAGTCAAGGAAAGGAGGCTTTGATTTTACTATTCAGGTTTATAAGAACCCCTCAGTACTGCCCACAGATTATTTTTTCCAAGAAAATTAATAGCACTGCCAACTCCCTTTCATATTCCAGGAGACTCCTTGTTCATTTCCAGCCAGCAGTCTTTTTTACCATAACTTTTTGGATGTCACCTTTGAAAAAAATCCTTTTGATTTATATCAAGTACAATTCATCTACCTTTTTGTTACCTTTGAAATGTCACTTATTGTGTACTCTGTGTTGGCAGCTAAGCATTTACTGTGAAAAAGCCCTCCAAATATCCATATAAAGTTGATCAAAACATTGAAGGAAGATAAATTTTAGATCATATTTAATAAACATATGTACTTTAAAAATGTTTTAAAATGTTTAAATAGCTTTTTGCATTACTGTGACTTATGATCTGCAGATGTTGGAGTTGAGCAAGAATAATAATATTTATATATGCATAAATTTGAGATTTGTGGTCTGAACCCAAAGACATTTATGAGTATTGCCAACCCTTTCATACTCACATGAAAAGTTTGTCAAGGAAAGCCCTGATCTCCCTTTCTTTGGAAGGTCTGGGCAGTGCTGTCATTTATCCAGGATCAGTGGGAGAGCTGGGCATGCCTTGCTCTTCCAGCCCTGATGGTCCCATGGTAGGAATCCATGGAATACCATGGAATTTCCCCTTGCAGGAAGATGAAGCTTGGCTACGCTTTCGTTTATCAAAACATGAAGAATTCATGCTGCAAAGGAGAAAATTCAGAGCATTCCATTGAAAAATCTCTTCAGTAATCAACAAGCAGGTTCTGCAACAAGCAGCCAAAAACAATTTCAGATGTCTGGAGACCTCTGAGTGTTAGCAGAGATTGTGAGGAGCTTTGCCACCTATCAGAGTTGGAATAAAGACAGTTGTTTCTCCATCTTGTCTCCTGTTGGAGTAGCTTTTAGCAAGGTGAATTTAACCTCAGGTCTTTGCCAGGACAGACTTAATGTCTCCACTCTGGAGGTTCCCTGACATAGTCTGCAGCCTCTTGGGCTTCCACTTACTGTGCTGATTTCTCTTTTAGAAGAGAGTGAAGTTCCTGGTAATGCTGGCAGCATTTACTTCTTTCCAGCATTCAGCTCCAATGCATTAGATTGTTAATTTGATAATGCTGCTGTATGAAGTGGATTTTTGAGATGCTAATATTAATAATGGTAATCTGTTTGCTGTACTTGAGTCTGCAAGTGAGGTGATGGAAGTTGAACTTATTTTCTCATCTACTTCTTAATATTTCGTAAATCTTCCTTGGGGGAGTGAGATTCTCTAAAAAGTCCAATGAAAGGCAAATTTGCTTTGTGAGGAAGTGGAATTCATTAATAGGGTATTAGGTCTTGTTCTTTAATTGACAGGAGCTGTGAGGGCCTTTCTCAGACACCTTCCTTTACTCACTCCTGATGTGATTTGTGATGAACGTGCTTAATATTTTCAGTATTTGTTTTTAGTAATAGAAATACCAATCTTCTAAGTAGCTTCTGGTTAAAAATGCTCGTTTCCAGATGCATTGCTTCCTTATTTACTAATGGTTCTGTGGGGTTGCTTTAAAATAAAAAGAATGGAAGACACTTCACTGTTGCCTCCTGCTAAATCTTTCTGGTGCTCACGGATACAAAATGCAGTGTTTGTGACTCTGCTTTTCCCTTCTACAGGCTGGGTGCAGGAGACTGGTATTTGCACCCCTGTTGGATTTTTCACAGGAACAGCATTTTGGTATTGAGAGCTTTCATTTAAAATTTCAATCTGTGCTTTTCCATGAAAAGAAACTCAAATTTTAACATTCTTCTGGATGGTTTGCAATGGACATTCCAACATGTATAGTTACCCTTTTACTTTTCTTCATGCCTCACTTTTTGATGTTACCTGGGAAGAGGTGAAATTTTTAAGGGCAGGAGTTGTGACAAAATTCAGTTAGAAGTTGGATCCTTACATGTGTACCGAAATATTTTAATTTTTTTATCCCGAGTGACAGTAGGTGGTATTTGGGATGTTAAACACTGTGTTTCAGGTTTTTATCTAGTGGATGTTAGACACAGAAGACATGTGGCAGGCAGAATATTTCATATCTGTTTACAGCAGGTTTTTTTACACCTTCATCTGAATAATGCCAGAGGAACAGGAAAAAAACTAAAATAGACAGGTACTGAATCAGGACTAGAAATCTCAACATTGCAGCTCCTTGTCTCAGGCTCCTGTGAACTAGATTGTTTTCATTACAGGTAGAATTAGAATTTTGAAAAGAAATAATGGAAAAAAATCCCAAGAACCATAATAGTTGGATAGTCCCATTCGAAAATACAAAATATACGCTTTTTTGACAAAAGAGAAATGTTGCAACATAGTTAAATATTGAAGTTCATGGTGTGATTTTTTTTCTTGATGCCAGGAAAAAAATATTCCTCATTAAATTTAATGATAATAACAATTTGAGTTATTGACGAAGGTTGTCTTTTTCAAGTCAGTGTGGATATTGAATATAATTTTCTGAAGTTAAAAACCAAAACTGTGTAACGCATGTGCTGAAGATCACCTCATTTCAGCAAAGCTGTTACCCTTTCTAGAATAACAAATGATTTATAACTTATGTTCAACATATGCTCTTTCTGGCAAAATTATTCCATCAGCAGTGCTGGCAGAGGAAGAAATGAAGAACCACCTAAGAACAAGACAAGTAAACCCATATGGGAAAAAGGACTGATCCATAAGTGGGAGTTTTTAAGGTCTGATCAACCATTATAATAATATAATCTGACTGGCTGTGTGAAACAAATCCACAGCTTCATTTGAAGCTACAAAGTGGCTTCAAAATAGCATCTATTTTTATTGCATTTGTTTCCCACATGTAAAATTTACTGTGTGACTTCAGATCTTTGTGTAAGCAGCTGAACTTCACCATTAACCTAAACGTGCTTGCCTTCACTTTGCATTTTAAAATCTTATATTTTCCTGATAGTATAGAAGAGCAGCCACTAGTCAGCCTCTTTACCTTTGGCCTTCATGCTGGATAAACTAAACAAGTAAAGATTTTTAAAATGGGTGTACTTTTTAAGAATAATATAATAAGCTAGCGTAATATTTTAAAATGCTAATATTATAAAATGTATTTCTGAATAGAAACCACGCTGTAGGCTTATGCTGATAAGTGTTGCTTGGTTACAGAATCTGACCATTAGATTTATGTATTTTCTGTTTATTAAGGCATGGGTAGGCACCTTTGCAAAGGTGCACACTCTGAGTGTGTAGAGCAAGGACAGGATTTTCTTTTTATCGTGTATTGATTTTGCTAGAAGTGCCATTTTTGTGGCTTGGTGGTCACAGGGGAAGCTCAGAGGGTAACTCTGAAGACTGTTTTGTACTGACAATCAAGAAATACTAAAGTTGGCATGCCTTGCTGAGTATTTAAGATCTTCTAATCTTCTTTTATCATCAGGCATTCCTGTGCTTGTGCACTTTATTGACTTTTAAAAAAGTGAAAAGCCCAGCTGAAATTTACTACCAGCATGTATAAATAACTGCAAAAGTCTTTCCTAGACTGATTCCTGAGTGACACTTACCAAAGAGAGGGAGCAGAACATTTATTTATGTTTGAACTTCCATTTTAAGACCCCAGGAAGCTCAGTATAACATCTCACTGGGAAGACCATTTTTTGCTTTCCAAAGATGTTGAAGCCCTTACTTTTTCAGGGTGAAAGTATCAAGTTATAGAAAGCAAGAATTTTCCATTTACATCTTGTTGTGGGACCAGCTGCACCTGAATTAAAGTGTGTGGAAGACATTGTGCTCTCCACATATCAGTGTTGGAGCCTGCTTTTGACAGGGAAAAAGAAAAAAGATGATGCTACAGCAGCTTGATCAGCCTTCACTCCACTGTTGTGCCTTCTTTCATGTGACTGAGTCTGAATAAAAGCTTTCCTTATTTTTTTCACCCCTCTCTCTTTTTAATCGTTCCCATAAGGATGTGAAATCTGGCTTAGAGCAACAAGGTGTTTTTTATTTAGTCCTAGAGAATGTCAATTAATTGTTGACCCCAGTTTGCGTTGACTCATAATGTAAAAAAATTTCTCTTTATACAGGTTCAGTGTTAATGAACTAACTCTTCACAGAAATTCTACCAGAAGCATATTTTCATGTAGTTTTCTGTGCTTTATTCAGTGTACTGCATACAGCTTGGATTGGCTGTGTTGTCTCATGGTTTTCTTCTGAAAATAAGTGGTGGTTTGCCAATCAGTCCTCTGTAGGTAGCACTATTTTGGAACAGGCATTCCAGCTGGAATGATGATTCTGTGACTCTTTTGGCATGCATCTTGATCAATGTGGAGGGAAAAACTGTGTGGCTGCTGTGGTCTGCAGCTCCCTCCTATAAATCACCACGAAGTAGCTTAGAAGCAAGAAAATCAGTTTCCAGTCCTTGTTTGCTTAATCTCTTCTTCTGTTTGCTTGCTTGTTTGTTTGTAAAATTCTTTTGCTTACTGTGGGTTTTACTGGATGCGTTGTCAATGCTCGGGAGCAATTTTGCGTCCAGCTGCCTTTCATTTGGTTGTGCCTTTTTGAAAGAAACAAAACTGAAATGAAAAAGAAGTAATTAGCTTCCATGTGGAAGGTGTCATGTGGTTTCTGTAAGCAGTGATGCAGCTTAAATTTCAATGGAATTTTTTAAATATAGGTATCTACTGGACTAAAGAACAATTAATTCTACAGCTGCTAGTGCGGCGCCTTGTGTAACACAGCGATTTTTCCTTTCTTTTTTTCCCCCCCAGATTACAGGACAGGCCCGTGCTTCACCCAGGTGAGCAAGCAGATGTGCCAGGGCCAGCTGACGGGGATTGTGTGCACCAAGTCCCTGTGCTGTGCCACCGTGGGGCGAGCCTGGGGCCACCCCTGCGAGATGTGCCCTGCCCAGCCCCAGCCCTGCCGCCGCGGCTTCATCCCCAACATCCGCACCGGCGCCTGCCAAGGTGAGCCCCGCCTGGAATTCTCCATGGATTCACCCCGAAAACCTCGCAGTGCCCTTGAAATGTGGCTGTTTCCCCTGGTGTGGTCTGTGTGTTGGCGTAAAATCCGGGCGTGCTTCGCTGCCTGCAGGTTTTTTGCTGCTGGACCCAAAGAGCAAAGCTTAAGCGCCTGGAAAAAGTCATTATTAATCAATACTGAGGAAAAGTATTTGATGATGTTTTTCCTCCTGTGTCGGAGCTAGGAGTTTGTGTTTTGCCATTTGTCTTGAAGTGATTAATGTGTTTTAGGCACTCTTTTCACAACAGTGTCAGGACCAGAAACACTGCACCACAGAAGGGGTGCATGTTGCAATCTCCAGGTCAAGATCCATTGTATAACTTGGCCACATACAAAATGTCCTTGAAACTGCTCTGCCAAGCTGACCCTGGCATAGCTCCTGGGGCTTCGTTTGAATTATGTGAGAGATCAGTGGTGCTCTTTATCACCCATGTCCACAATAGCTGTGTTTTGTTTTTCTGGCAATATATTCCCTGTGGCAAATAGCTACCCGTTTAACCATGTTGCTAAATTCCACTGGGGAGCATAGAAACAATGTGGTAGTCGACTTTGTGTGATGGGTAAACAAAGGAAGTCTGAACAGCTGCAATTTTTGCTGCATTTTTGACATATAATTGCTAAATAGGGAGCTTGGATTGCATTTATGTCAGCTGGGCTTAGCACACAACTTTACAAGGTGATGGCAGGGCATAGATGAGAAATGCTTGGCCTTTCTCTGGAGAAAAGGGAGGGACAGAATTTCTTTATTTCACAGAATCTTTGCCTTCCAGCAGTTGAGACATTTCCTTTCGAGCTCTGAGTGCTGGCAACTCCTCCTCACCTGAGCTCTGTGGTGTGAGAAGGTTGGCAGCACCGTGTCTGCTCTGTTATGAATTACCATCCCACCTGGATGCAGGAAGGGGCTGGATGTGGCACTTTGTGCCTTTCCAAACTCCACATTTGCAGTGCAGAGTCTGTTGAAATAAGATCACAGAATCCCAGGATGGCTGGGGTTGGAAGGGACCTCTGGGCATCGTCCAGTCCAGCCAGGACAGGGTCACCCAGAGCAGGTGACACAGGAGTGTGGCCAGGTGGGGTTGAAATGCCTCCAGACCTCCCTGGGCAGCCTGTTCTGGTGCTCTGCCATCCTCAAGAGAAACGACAGAGCAAACCAAGTGTTTTCTCTGAGGGTTTTAGAGGCAGACAGATGTATCTGTTGTGCTTTTCAGTGCTTTTCTTTCTGTTGAGGACACAAACCCCTTTGTTGTTCACTAAAAGTACCTTTGTCATACATCAGGGAGAGCAGGCTCGCTCAGTCCACACTTCAGATGTTTTTAAAACAACTCAAAATCAGTGGAATTTGCAAGCCTTGCTGTTGGAAAATGAGTAATGATTTCAGTATGTGTTAGAGATCCGAATTTGACAAGATGTAACTCCCAAGCAAGAAGTTGCTCCTACTCTGCAAAGGGTTTGCATGATTCCATCTTAAATGGATTTTTTTAACTCTTTGAGTGTTAATTATGTTTTCTGGATAATGTTCTTGCATAGAACATTGTAGTAGTACTGTTGACTTCATTATTACCCTAAACAAGTTTAAAAATTTCTAAGAAAAGTAAAACCAGTCAAAATTCAAATTGTTTGGTTGTGACTCCTTTTTTTTTTCTTTTTTTCTTTTTTTTTTTTTTTTTTTTTTTTTTTTTTTTTTTTTTTTTTTTTTTTTTTTTTTTTTGAACATTTTTTCATTCATTGCTTGAGAAATCTCCAAATACAACTACTGCTCACAGATTTTAAATTTTCCTACTCTGAATTCCCTGGAAGCTACAGTTTTTTTTTTTTTCTTTTCTTTTTCCCTGGAAGTTTCTATTCAGTCATGTCGTAAAAAGGTATTTAACTGTTCAGACATCCCTCTCCAAGAATTCAGGCAGGAGGAGCTTCAGTGTTCTGCTTGAGTGAGCTTTATTGCCACTGCTGCATGGCCTTGGGAGAAGCATAATGGGAGAAATCCTGTGTTGGATGTTCTCTCAGTTCCTCCCTGCATTCCTCAACAGCTCCATTTCCCACCTACACCCTTTTCCTGCAGGCAGTTAATTTTTTTGCTCTGAGGAGGGAAGAGTGGTCACAGCTGAGTAGATTTTGAAAATAGGAAGGTTCTTCTTCCTTTCTCTGTTGCTGACATGGTTATGTGCAATTACAGGAGATAAAATCAGAGAAAATATCAGTGTAGGAATACAGTGTCTAAATGTCAAAGGCACTGAGGTGAACTGGACAAGAGAGAGGAGGCAGGTGAAGGTTCAACTTCCTAATGAAGATTTCTGATTTCTTTTTGTAGTCTTGTGCTTGGTATTAATGTGTCTGAGTTCCTGAAAATATTGGCAGTGTTGTTTAGGATCACCTCCTGCTATTGTGAAAATAATTACTAAAACAGGGAACAATTGTATGGTATTATTTCTGTTGTGTGCAGTATTTCTGCTTTCTAGGATGCAAAGGAAGAACCAACAATTTTCCATTATATTCATGAGCAAGTCACCTTTTATTTCCCACATGACAGATCAATTACAAGGAAACTCCCTGTACATATTCCAAGCAGAATTAAAGAGAGATTTTTAAATTTAGATAATTGTTGTCACTCCTATAATAAATAAAAAACCCCAAAATTTATGTTAACATCTGAGTAGATTTATTTTTCCTGAACTTTTTTGATTTATCAGTTTTTTTGAGAAAAAGCCCACAGATCAGAAAGGGAAGGTGCATGTTTAAAGTTAGCTGTGCAAATCCCACAGCCATTTTGCAGAGAAAACTCTGCAAAAGTGCAAAAAATATTAGACTATGAAGACATGGAAACATTCTGCTTCATCTGTAACATATTGAACTTTTATATGTAGAACTGTATCTGCAAAGATATTAATCAAATTTGCTGTTTATGGTAAAAACTTTCTTGTGTTAATGTGGTTGAGATTTAAAAATGTAAGTGGATAATTAATAATGCTGGAACTTATGTGTGGTTTAGCCTAACTGTCAAAGATACTAAAAAAAAAGCTTCATTTCAATTTGCTTGTATTTTAAGAAAGAAAAATTCTTATATCCTAAAGCATTGAGGAAGCAATTGATAAAATACACCCTTTTAATAAAATACTTCTGTTCTTCTTGACTTTTCTCAGTCCCAAAACACCAATAATGTCTTAAAACAAACTTAGATTTTCAGCAAAAGGTGATACTGACAAAAAAAAGTATCAGTTTTCTAGCATGTATATATGTTTATCTTAGGATTAAAGTTGAATCTGCTTGCTTTCTTAACAATTAAATATGATGTAAGTACATTTAAATATGTCAGTATGATGGATCGCATAATTTGGATTGGGTCTTTAGGCTTCAGCATCTATTTGCTGTCTTGAAATAACTGGAATAAATTGATGGAATTGATGGAGATTAAAATTCAGTTCACCTCAGGCCTCCAGTGACATTTTCCTGTTTCTGGGAGGTGTTCATAGCTTGCTGCTGCTGCCATTAATTCACTATTCCTTGACATCTTCAACTTCTAAAACTGTGTCAGACACACAGTGGATTTTTAACAACTGTTCTGCTGACACAGGAAACTTAATTTAGGTGTTAATAAGTGACAAAAGGCAAAGGCACACTGTGTGTGATAAAAGCATTTTGAGGCCCCAGGGTCAGAAGACAAGCACCACATATTTTACTCAGCAGGGAGCTGTGCATCAATAAGTGCTGGAACCATCTTCTCTCTAGATGTTGCTAAGCCATGTCAAGGTTTACAGAATAATTGGGGTTGGAAGGAATCTCTGGAGAGTACCCAGTCCAGCCCCCCACTCCTTAAAGTGCTTGAAACATTAAATGTTTGATTTCCAAGTGAACAGGCAGCAAGCACTGGTTATTTAGGGGGGAAAAAAAAAAAAAAAAAAAAAAAAAAAAAAAAAGAAAAAAAAAAAAAAAAAAAAAAAAAAAAAAAAAAAAAAAAAAAATATTCTATGCCTTTGATAAAGTCCTCAATCCATTTGCAGTCTAATTGTTGCATTTTGGACATGGCAGTATGCTGGCTAAATCAACATGGACTCAGGAGCTAAATGCAAATTTCTCAGCAAATGTACTAAAACCCAAGTCCAGTGGTTACGAAAAAAAAAAATCCCCAAATCTCCAAAAAGTGCTTGCCTTCTTCCTAAACTATGAGAAATTATACTTGCCTAAATGAAAAAATGTGTGACTGGGCAAGGCAAATACCATAGGTTTGTCTATAGCATGAGCACCATGAGGAATAAAAACTGAAGAAGGACTGTAATCCACAAACTCAGGAAGAAGGCTTTGATCATCCACCTGAAAGAATTCCATATTTTTGCCAGATGTTGCCTGGAGACACCGCACAGTTGGAACAAACGGGTCCAGAATATTCCTGAAACCCCTGGTTGGTAACTTCATGGTACAGATGCTAAGGAAGCCAACCAGGAAAAATATCCTGTTGGATAGTTTTGTATAAAAACATACAGAAACATGGGGTGGTTTATGTGTAACCAAATTAGAGCTGGGAAGAAAAAAAAAAAAAAAAAAAAAAAAAAAAAAAAAAAAAAAAAAAAAAAAAAAAAAAAAAAAAAAAAAAAAAAAAAAAAAACCACAAAAACAACAATAATAATTCAAAAACAAACAAAAAACCTAACAAAACTTGAAGTAGAACTTACTGAAATGAAAGGAACTTATCTATCTTGTGTGAAACAATCAGATCTGGGCCTTTTTTTGTGTTTGCAGATGTTGATGAGTGCCAGGCTATCCCTGGGGTCTGCCAAGGAGGAAACTGTGTTAATTCAGTAGGTTCATACGAGTGCAAGTGTCCTGTGGGCCACAAACAGAATGAAGCAACTCAAAAATGTGATGGTAAGTGATGCTGTAGGAGAACATACCAAAGAAGGAGTTATGCAGAGCATAAGAGCACTTTGGTAATCAGCATATTAAATAGTTGGATAATTGTAGAGTCTCATCTGGACAGGCATAGCATCACTGAACTCTGCTTTTTGTTTCTACTTTGCAGCATCCTATCTTTTCTACTTGCTTGTTCCTAGTTTGCATTACATACTTTTTTTTTTTCTGACAGGCTTTTGTGGGCAAACAGTTTTTATTTTCTTTGAAAATGCAGAACTCTTGATAAAAGCTCTGTGTGTGAGTACCATATAACTGCTGCTGAGTTACTAGGATTTTCTTTGTTTTCTAAAAGATATATTCTAGGTCAGGTAGATATTTCTGGCCTAGTGACTGCAGAGTGAAAGGAAATATAGCAGTTTTGTTGAGTCTGGGTAGGTGAAAAATACCAAGGAAATCCCATTCTCTTTTAGATGGAAAATAAAGCAGACCGTCTTTAATAAGTGTATTTAATAAACATAGACCATATTTACTCAGTAAATATGTTGATACAATTAAGATCAGCAATTCCTTATAATTTAAAATGATGAGAAAGAAAATTGCTGAGTTTTTGTGAGTTTGCTGAATATTTCACTGATTTCAATGGCTTTTTCATGCCTTTGGAAAAAATCAGAACTCAACCACTGCATGCTTTTACATTCAAGTTGTGCTGATAAGAGGATTTTCTTATTAAAGGCTTTGACTTGTTATTTGCTGGCAATTTAATTATGGTACCAAATTACATTCTAATCAGTATTCAGATACAAACAAATGCATTGCTTATAGCCAATTTTGGACATCCCATCAGAGTTTTGTTGAGATTTGCCTAGTACTACATTCACAGAAAAATTAAGTAGTTTGTTTAAAAATCATGTGCTTTTTAGTGAAAATGTTGCTTCTGGTGCTGTTGCAAGTAATGCCTAAGTAAAAATTTATAAAAACTCACTCCTTTCCATCTTTTAGGTGTGGAAAGGCAGATCAAATGTCACTTACTGGCTAAAAAGGACAAAATCCGAGTTGGAGTCAGTAATAGTCAAGGCTCCCATGTTCAGAGGCTGGAATCTTGCCATAAATATTTAGAGCTTGTTTACTATAACAGCAATTCTCCTAATTAAGGAGAGATTTGAGATCCCCTGTATACTCTCTTCCCCTGAGCATTCAGAGGTATTTTGTGGGTTAAGTTTGTTTTCTCCTGTTGCTCTTCCTGGAAACAGCAGCTCTGGTTAGAATTAGTAAGAATGTCCATGTTGTGCTTTTTGTACCCCTAATAGTTGTAAAAGTTTAGGAAAGACCATTACAGGGATTGTACCAAATTCCAGATATCCAGTCCACCAATGTCATGTCTTAGCTAAATGAAAGAAAACCCCAAACCCTTTATTCTTTTTTTTCTTAAAAGTTTTTGTCTACAATATACTGAATTTTCACTGACTTTTCATGAATGAAATACTGTTCATTTTTAGGATGTTGTTATCTCTCAGAGTTAGTGGAACTTAGATCTTTGTGTTATTCAGAAGTGAACAAATGGTAGAGAAACTCCCAGTTATGATTGCTGCTTTACAAAAGGGATGGAGTATTAATTGTTGTGTTCCAGGGTTTGTGTTCTTCTTCCTGTTCTCAAATATGAGATACATCATACTCATTAAATAGATGTAGTTAGTTGTGACACCCTTTACAATTTAAGGTGCTCTAAAGAGGTAGGATGCCTCTGTTGCTTTTCCAAAAAGATAAGTTTTTGTGTGTTAAGTATGTACTGATATGTTAAGTATGTACTGTTGGTACCAAAAGGTTAGGACTTTAATGTAATCTGTTTCATATGAGATTATATAAAACAGATTAAGGCCTTAAAAAACAAAAGCAAAACAAAAAGTGGCACCAAAATGGAAAGAATTGCTTAAAATAAATAGTTCTATTTCAGATTTTCCAGCTTCAGTGTATCATTTCATTAGACTTGGTCCTACCAGGTATTACTACTTTCTAATATTACTTCCTAGACTAAAACTATTTTCAAAGAGCCTTTTCCCAGAGTTTGGCAGTTGAGAGCCCCATTTCTGGTACTTGTAACTTATTTATAAAACCCTGCTTTGCCTAGCAGTAAAAGCCACAAGTTCTGAACTGCTGGTATCTAGGCTGGGTCTTTGAGGCAGAAACTCACTGGGTAATAAATCTGAAACATTTTTGTCATGCATTTCAATTTTTTCTCAAGTTGAGACTGGATGTCCCATCCTGTGTGCAGCACTGGATCCATTCATGCCTCCAGTCTTCCTCTCCCTTAATATAGCATTCCCTGTTACTTATATTTGGAGCATTTTCCGTGAGACCATTAATTTATGTGTTTTGGAGGGGGAAGGGAAGAAAATGAGTAAAATTTTCAGGCATCCTCACTAAAAATAACCCTTCCTGAGATGAAGTCTCAGAATTTCCAGTCAGAGGTAATAGCGATATTTTGAAATAATTGCATGTGCAAGGACCAGGGAGGGGGAAGGGGAGACAGAGATTTGGCTAAAAAAAATAGTGAAACAAAAAACCAATTACTCATTGCTGCTCTAGTAAGTTAAATAAATGATTCTTCCACCAGGGTTCTCCATGTTAATTGGTTTTCCTGTCCACTTGCAGAAGACTGTGGAGTCTTCCTGCCACTCTGATCACTGCTTAGATTTCAGGAGGGTGCTTTTTTACCTTCCCAGATTCCTGTCCTTCTTGGACAAGAGCCCTGCAGAGTGCTAAACTCCCTTGCATGTAGCCAGTTGGAAAGGATGGTCTGCATCCTGCAACTTTGCAGAGGTGGTGAAAAACTTCCTCCATCTGCCTTTAACTTGCCAGCTACAAATGGGCTTTGCAATGCTGGAACAGTTTTGGAATTTGGCAGCCCCTGGTTACACAGAGCAGCTCATCTGTGTCAGCGTGGTGACAATCTCATTTTATACATATTTACACACAAAATTGCCTCCGTGTTCAAGTCAGCAGAAATATTTGAATGCATCTAAAGGTTGAGTGGCTACAGCTGGAATGTTAGGGGGGCCAGAAGGCAGTCAGGATCTCGTGAGCAGTATTTTTGTGGTCACAGGAAGCCCAGAGATGTCCTGGCTGGCTGCTGTGCCATCCTACTCCCTATGTCCTGAAAGCAGGATGTGTATTTTGGCATTCCATTGTAGCTGTTCTGTGCTTCTCAGAGGTGGCACTGAGCCACTCAGGAGGAGGAAATCTCAGCTTCCTTTCCTTTACTCTGTGACTTGAAGTGTTAAAGAAATGAGTGTATAAGGAAAACCTCCAACAGGTGGCAAACAAAACTATTTTCAGTAAGCAAGCACCAGCAATACTTTGTTCAGAGTTTAATAAAAACTTCATTTCAGAAAAGCTTTCCCCCTCTTTTTAGTGCGGTATAAGTGCTCTGCTAATTATCCCATTTCCTTTCCTTTTTTGGTAGATATTGATGAATGCAGTGTCATCCCAGGGATTTGTGAGGGTGGTGTTTGCTCCAACACTGTGGGGAGTTATTTCTGCATCTGCCCTCAGGGTTTTGTCACATCTGTGGATGGATCCTGCACCCCTGGTAGGTGCTCCAGACATCTGGCACTTCCCCCTGCCCCAGAGTCTCAACCTGGCAAACATAGGAACTGTTAATTTTATTTGTTTCTTGAATCTGCATCTGATGAGCCCAAAAGTTAAGCTCACTTTGGTCTTAAAGGAGCAAATGTTTATCCCTACTTGGTGCTTCAAATCTCATCTCACACAGGTTGGTTTAACCTTTAGTGGTCAACGTAAGGCACAAAAATAAACTCAAAAGGTATTACGTAGCATATGCTGATGTGTCACTAATTTGTCAGAAACAGATAATGAAGCAAACCAAGTGTTGGATTTCATTAGATTTCACCTTTTACAGGACAGTTTATTTAATCATTATAAAAACCCATTTTGCTTATTTCCATGTATTGATTTCTTATATATAGGTGCATGTGTCAAGTATGTGATTTAAACCATTCTGACCAATTAGCTATAAATACTGCATACCATGTGTAAAAAACCTTAACAATTACTAACACTAATACATTTTATAGGTCTTGTGTGGTTCTTGTTATTTCAGATATCTCAAAGCTCTTTGTTCTCTTATTGAGGAAAGGGTAGGAATTATCAAGGGCTTTCTGACTTACAGATAAATGATGTAAGCAAGTAGCAGCACAAGACCTACAAGTGATTTAAAATTAGTTATTTTTAAACAGTATAGCCACCTTCTGTTATTCAGGTTCATCTGAGGAGTGCCAACTTCAAATACATTATGGCTAGCCTCAGGAATACTGAAAACTTATGATTTCCAATATGATCAAAATTTCTGTGGATCTTGGCATGTTTTACAATTTGATTTTTAAAGTCAGCTTGCAAAACATGAGTGCTGCAGAAAAATCACACGCCCTAATCTGACAATAAAAGATCATCTGCCCTTGAAGGAGAGTAGTTTTCACAGGGCATTGCTAAATATTCTGTTGCACTTTCAGTCAACTGAGCAGAGCAAACTGAATAGCAGTTTTTTTCAATTAGCTACATCTAAGATAAGGAAAAAAATTATTAAATGAATTTTTTGATGTCGCTGTTGTTACATGACGGATCTCAAGTTGTGCCATAGTAGGGTTTTTATATATATAAATATATCTGTTTTTTCTTTGTGTCACTTTGTGGTTTTCATATCATCCATATTTCCTTGTTGGATTGAGCTAACTTTAGGGATTGCATGGTGGATTAATGCAAGGCTAATGCCACTGCACCTGTGTGATCCTACAGTAAATCCAGAGTGGAATATGTGGGTTAGATAATTATTGGATGTTGTGGGGGTTTTCCTTTGGATGGTTTTGTTTTTGTTTTGTTTTTTTTTACAACTTGTAAAGCATTTTCATCCTTACCTCAGAAAATCAGGGGGAAGGTAGCTTTGAGAAAAAGGCTGATGGCTTTTTCTCTGGCCCTAAAAATATGAGTCAGACGCAATTAGAGTGATTAAAAGGGTAACTTCATATGAGGATCCACAAGTACACAAATTCATCAGGTAGAAAAGGCCAAGATGTGCCTTCTGTGTAAAACATGTACAATTTTTATAGATTCTGCAAATTATCATATTTGACAAGAGCCCCCCAGTCAGGAACCTGCCTGGGGAAGTAATTCCCCCCAGTTCTGGCACTTTCTGGATTCTCCCCTCTCAGGATGAGATCTGTTTAGAAAAATCTATCTTGGAAAGCTGGTTTCAGCCTTGTTTTCTAAGGAGAACCAAGACAGCACAGGGATCCTAGAATTTTTTTTTGTCTTTCTGCCAAGGGAAATGTTGAAACTAAGCTCCAAGACGAGGCTACAAAGCTACAAGTGTATGTGTAAATAATACACAGACAATATATAAAAGCGAGAAGGGTGAAACCAAAAACGGCATCACCGAAATGTCACTGTTTTTTGTTTTTTTTGTCTTTAACTTGGCTGCCAGATCAGAGAGCAGGCAGCTGCTTCTCCAGCTCTGCGAGTGGCCGCTGCGTGCAGGAGCTGCCCGGGAGGCTCACCCGAAGGCAGTGCTGCTGTGAGTCTGGCTACTGCTGGGCCAGTGGCTCTGCCCCAGAGCTGTGTCCTGCCAGAGGATCTGGTGAGTGCCCCGTTGGCTGGGCTGGCTTATTTCTCCTTCTTCCTGCTCGTTCTGCCTTGGGTGGAGGTCACTGGGGTGTTTTAAACTGCTTTAAAATGTAGGCTAAAGAGGAAAAAAAAAAAGATAAGGTCATGGATTGCGTTATTATTAATTTCCGTGGTTTTAATACTGATACTGCCATCTGTTAACCATTTTTCTTTTTGGTCCGTGGTTGTTTGGCTCTTGGTTCTTTAATGTTCTTTTGTTGGATTTGGAAATAGTTTTTGGGAAATGGGGAAGATTTTGTGGTCAGGCTTAAGGAGGAAATGACTCTTAGGGTCTTAATTTTGATCTAAAGGAGCAGCTGCTCTCTTGTTCCATTGCATTTTGGGTTACTTTGAAGTAGAATGCACCAGTTTTTAAGTTATTCTTTCAGTTCTGCTCAGAGAGGAAAACAGCACATCCCTAATGAAAGGTATTTTCTTTATCAACACCTCTGAGAAACCAGTGAGTTACAGTGCTGCTGTCAGCACATCAAGAAGACAGTTCCAACAAATAATTGAGAACACATCCTTAAATTACAGCACTCCTTTCCATTGATTCCTCAAGCAACACCTGCCACATCCCAAGGAGGCCCGGAGCGGCAGGGGGAAGGCGCGACGTCGGGGAGAGGAGGATCTGCCTCCCTGGTTTTTGCAGCCCACGGGGAGAGCTGTGCCTTGCTTTTGGGCTGGCTGTGAGGGGCTGAACCTGCTCTGAGCTGCTCTGTCCCCCGTGTCTGGCAGATGACCACCGCAGGCTGTGTGTGGACGGTGTCCCTGCCCGAGGCGGCGCCCGGCGCGGCGGAGCAGGAGGGAATGGGTTCCATCCCGGGGGAAATGGAAATGGATTCGGACCAAGAGGAGCTGGCTTCATCCCAGTCCCAGGAAGCAATGGGTTCTCCCCGGCTGCGGGTGGAGCAGGGGTAGGAGCAGGTGGTCACAGCTCCACTGGAAGTGGCCCGATCATTACGGGGCTGAGTAAGTGTTCCGACTTGTTTCACTCTTTTTTTTTATGCTATTCCTCTTGTTTTTCCTTTCTTTTTACTGCTCAGTCTGGATAGCGTATGGTGTTCTTAACACTTAAAAATTACTTTACTATTCAAACACATTTTAAGCATCTCAGCTGATGCATCAGGAAGTTCAGGAGCCCTTTTATCAACAAGAGTTCAAAGGTAGAGATTTTTGCTTTACTTCACTTACAGCGTTGTCCCTGTTGAGATATCCTTGTCAGCACTTATAAAACTCCAGATTTCTAGGTGTTTTCCAAAAACCACTGGGGTTTAAAACAAATTGCCTTCTGTATTTTCTCCTCCAACTGTAAAACCTACTTACTCTGCAGAAACACTGCCTTGGCTGAAAGCCCAAGGTGAATAACTTTCTTTCAGGAGTCTCATGGATGTAAACATGGCTCATGACATGTGTAAGCACATCCCTGGCGTCACAACCATAGAGATCATAAAGTGTAAGAAGTATTATTAAGACAGGTATACCAAAAATTGCTTTGACTTTCACACAAAATTGTGATTTATCCATGAGTTCACTGACAGGCTCATCAGGCTATAGACAGAACTGGTAAATCATGTTTAAGAATATTTGTCTAATGTGGTTTTTTATTTCCAAGAGCTGTTTGTTGTTGTTAGTTTACTGTCAGGTCAACAGGCAGTGCTTTAAAAAAGGGTTTTTATGTGTTTGTGCACCTTCCAACTTCCTTTCTGAAGCCAAGTATAATATTCATATTTACTTCCATTTGAAAATCTGAATATTTGCCTCTCATTCTGATTTTTTTATATTAGCAATACTCAATCAGACAATTGACAACTGCAAGCACCATCCCAACCTTTGCCTGAATGGACGCTGTATACCAACCCCCTCTAGTTACAGATGTGAATGCAACATGGGATATAAGCAGGATGCAAATGGGGATTGTATAGGTGAGTGCACACTTCAAAATCCATTATTCTAATATTCTTCAGCTTAAAATCTGGGCTGTTTTACAAAAATAAATCATATTCATTTTAATGATGCTACTCTTCAGAAAGAGTGCAAAGACCATGGTATTGGTTGCACAAGAATAATTTCATTTTTCTATGAGAACTATCTGTTTTCATACCAAGAAAGAAAAATTTTGAATTGCAAATATTGAGTATTCCTACTCCTGTAGTTAAAGGCTATTTTTCTCACATTCAGTAAAGTAATTTCTGCTTCACTTTCTCTTTTGTTAGGCTGACAAAGCTCGACTTTTGGGATGTGGTATTGTTATGATCAAGATGATGAAGGGTAGAATTTATGTTTTGCGTCCTCATAAGGATTAATGACAATTTTAAAGACTTAAAATACTTTTAAAATTGTGTTAATTAACTTACTGATTAAATTTGCATTTCAGATGAAAATACAGAATGCTACGTTTATATGACAAGAACTAAATTTGGCATCCTGTACTTTTATTCATTTACTCTGGACTTCACTCTTGCAGTGTCCAAAACTCATAGGTTATTTCAGAGAAAATATGAGATTTGGGAGTTCTTGTGGGGTGGTTGTATGGAGAGGAACCTCCTATGCAGGATACATTGATTAATGTATGGGATCCTAAATAAAAAGTTCTGGTTATATTTTGGCTTGAACCCTTGTTTACTGAGTCTTTATCAAGAAATTGAGGTCTGTGAATGAAAAGTATCAGACAAGAGCTTGTTATAGCAATAGCTTTGCCTCACAGTAAATGTGGGTGGAGAATAAATTTCCTATGTGTCTGTGGATTGCTGGTCTCCTCTTAGCTCAGCTGTGCTTTTGCATCAGAGAGGTTGGTTGTACCTGCATCACTCCTGGCCACTGCACACCCTCATTTTAAGAAAAATCAGTTAATGGGGATTCCACCACTTCCCCAGGCAGTTGTAATGCTCCCATAGTCAAATATCCAGAAAGTTTTCAGGGCATCTAATCTAACTTAAACACTACATTTGCAAAAAGATTCAGCTTTTGTTGTTTATCTTCACTATACAAGGAAAGCAGTTCAGTGCCTTCTTAATTTCACTTTTTTGCACTTGAAGGTTGGTATAGTTCTTCTTCCAAGCTGTCCTTTGTGCTGTAGTGAGCCTGAACTTTTCTAGCTTTTTTTATTTGGGTGAGAGTTTCCTGTACCTCTGATCTCTGGGAATTTCAGAGGGCTTTATCTCTTGCTGCATCCTTGGGTGTCAGGAGCCATAATTGCATTGTGAGAGGGGAGCTGGAGTTTTGTGATGTTTGCCTTGCATGGCTCTTCCTTATAGAGTATGGAGAGCCCTGGCACTAGACTTTGCATCACTGAAATCAATAATATTTTTAACTCTGGTGGACCTTGACACTCAAGGACTATCTGGTGTCTTGGACTACCTGACCTTTTTGAAATCTAGTTTACATCTTGTATTCATATTTTTGTTAATCAGGCGTTAAGTTGAAAATAAAATCTGAAGCACATATGTTGCAGCAAGTGGAGCTATATGAACTTAAAATTTTTAGTTTTTCAGGTGTCATTGGAGTAGCAATAATCCATGGTTTGAAAGGCCCATCAGGTTTATGTATCTGGGTGCTAGGACAGAAAAATACAATGTGCTCTTGATAATGTGGCTGTCATTCTGTCCCTGTCTCTTCTGTGAGGTCACCCTGCAGGACACTTGCTTGGCAGTTCCCCTTCTACTCCTGGCTTGTGATAATTACTGAAGTTGTATCTAATTTTCAGTCTGGGGTCCACGTGCCTGAAAACTGAAAACTGTGAGGTTAGCTTGATAGGTGCATTGGGGAGGAAAAAAAAAGTTTACCTGGTTAATTCTCAAGCGTACAGGTACGTGCCCAGTGAAAATATATCTTCACTTAAGAAACTTAATATTGACTTTGCAATGCTTACCTCAGCATGAAAGAGTAGAATGAAAGCAGAGACAATTTTGGGTGCACTGGGATAAAAACAAAAATTTCAGTTGGTTTAACAAAAGCTGAAGGTGCAGTGCCAGCCAGCTACAGGGCTGCCCCACATTGAAAACATGGGAAAAGACCCCCAAAATGTCTTCAAAAAAGTTTGTGTCATTTTACTAATTTTTTTCTTTTATGAAATAAATCAACCATTACTAATTTCATCTCTGCAGTGGTTTGCCTTTTCAGTAGCTGCTTGAATTCAGATGTTTTATAAGAGAGTGAACTCTGTAAATTATAAATAACTCTAAGTGAACTCTATAAATAACTATAAGCGAGCTCTATATATAACATAGCATTGTTTCATTGTTATTTTCTAATTGTATTATAAAGAAGTAGCCAAAGTATCTTAAGTTCCCCCCTGAATCTGAGATTTGTGAACAGTAGTTGCTGCAAATTACTTGGAAATGTAGGCAGGATATATATTCTAATATATATATATATATATATATATATATATATATATACATACAAATTATGGTAGATTTATATATTATAATTTGAATATTTATTTAATTACTAACAGAACAGTCTTGGGGCATTGGTAATAGGGTTAATGGCTCTGTGCTTCTTTGTCTGCCTGCACCCAAAGCAATAAATGAAGGATCTAGAAAGGGTTACATGTCATATTTTTCTATAGACTTAAAGTCCTGTTTCAAGATTAATCCTGGCAAACAACCAAAAAAAAAAAAAAACCAACCCAAAAACAAAACAAAACAAAACAAAAGCACCAAAAAAAACCCCCACCAAACTATGGTGTTACTTATTGTTGTCTGACCTAAATTTGCATTATGCTGTTCTCACAACAGAATGTTTTTAATGGACAAAGGACCATGAGTGTCCTAAGTGGTTTGATTCTAACTAGTCAGTCCTTTTCTCCAAAATAGCTTTAATTTTATTACCTTCCTTTATTAATTTCTGTTTCTAAAAACTCTGGATAAAACTGCAGAGACTTTTTAAAAAGTGGGAGCAAACCTGTAGGTCTGCTGTGTTAAATTTTAGTTACAAATATGCCTACTTAAAATTTCATAATTTGTCTCCAGACTCATTGCAGTACGTCTTTTAGGGGGGCTTTTGGAAATTTCCTGCTGATCCTGAGAGAATTCTGACAATTGTTAGAGATTAAAAACTGAAAAGTGGAGATGTGTGTGAGGCAAGTGCTGAAATAGAAATATTTGACATTGAAGGGGGTATGCTGGGGGACAGAATAAATGGGTTAAATATCTCTGTCTTAAATGTTTCCTGTTTATACTGCTGGAATATGCATGCTTTCAATGCAAACTCAAAGCCAACAACTCCTTTATATTAACATACATTTGCCATTTCCCTCAGTTATCCAGAGCTTATAAAAATAAGATGCATATTAAGATGCATAGTCCATGTGGAATTAATGTGCATGAAGGATGCACATGGCTTTGGGAGGATTTTTGAAGCTTAAGTCAGCTTTTTCTTAGAGAACCTCTGCATTCCTGCTGCAGAGTTTATAAACTTATAGACAGATCCTTTCTAGCATGAACATGGGCTTTTTTTTTTGAAGCAAGTTGAAGCCTGTAATAGAGAAGGTCCTAAATGTCATTCTCTGCAGGAAAACTAAACAAAATGGATGAGTGTTGCATCAAGTAAAGTTCCCTCTGTGCTCCCTTCTAATAAGGCAAGATATAAAAAATACAGTAAATTCATTGGAATTAGGGCACATGGCAAAAAACTATTGTCAAGATGTGATCCTGAGTTGATGTTCTGTTGGTAGCTGAGGACTTTGTTGTGGAGGGGAGTGTTCAGTCCTGGACCCCTTCCCATATCAGCTGAGCACTGAGAAAAATCACCTCTTGTGAAATATCAGCCCACTCGTGACAAAAATCATCCCAACACCCAGGCACGGCATGTAAAAAATCAGTTACCTGTGTGTTTAACACCCTGAATTCCTCTTTTCTTTATCTTGTCTCAATTCTTGTGGTTTTACTGCAGTGGTGGTGGGATCAGCAGGTATGCAAACGTGAACAAGCTAATTACTTGTGTGGGGAGGTATTTAATTCTTCCATTTTCTTTTCCTTTATTCATTTAACTGTTTGTACAGTTTGTATCTGGGCACAGTTTATTGCTGTAAACCAGGAAATTATATCAGTGACTTGTGTAAACACAGATCTATTTTTGTACAGTGATGCTCTTGGTTTAAACTTTGTGTTCATTAACACTGTAACTCCTGTTAAATATGGGGTCTTATTTATGATTAAATTAGAACAAAGCTGTCCTTTTGTCATCATTTATAGTGATTTTAGAAGTTATTTGTGGGACAGCACTTTCTAGAAATTACACATAAGTATTCTTTTGATTTCAATTTCTTGTTGAATCCCAGTGTTCTCAAGATGTAATGAGCTAAGGTCTAGGACCAGATTTGATAAGGTGTGAGTGGAAATGATCATGAGGATTGTCCTGGGGTTTTCCTGGTATTTCTGGAAGCACACACTGCAAAATGCATGGGGAAATAATCATTGTTAGGAACTGATTAGCAGTGGCTTCACAGTTTCTTATGGCAGATTTTAGCCAGATGCCAGAAACTCCTGCAAATCACCACTGGCTTTGTGGTGTTCAAAACCTGCCTAAATGAAGAGATGAGTAATTACAAGTACATTGTAAATAAAATGAAGGGCCTAGGTGGAGGAAAAAGTTAAATTAGCAAAAGTTGCTGATAAAGAAATGGGGTATTTCATCAAGGGATCCATTTGTCTCCTCTAAACTGAGCTCTAACAGGGAGTAGCTGCTTAGGTCATCTTTTAGAAGCTGCAGTGGGGTCTGATCCAGCAGTCCTGCCCTGCCAGACCAGTGGGATACACCCACTCTGCTCCCTGGATTACGGTGGGCAAGGGTCCTGGAGGGTTTACAGAAACTGAGAGAACAATTGATGATATTTTAGATCTGGGAATAGCTGTTGTGACCAAAATCACATCTGACTCGCTGGTAACTACTGGGTATCAAATTTGGGAAAGGGTTCTTGAAAAGAGCTGTTGAAGTTTTCAGAGCCCTGTGTCAAATAAGTGTTATTTCTGAGCAGTTAGCTGACATTTTAATAGGTTAAAATGTGCTTGGTTGCACCCAAATACCCAAAACTTTTGGAAAGGAGAGTAAGGTATATTATAGAAAAAGGTTAGGTTAAATCTGACATTACTTAGTGCAAAGACTGGGGTTGAGGGTGCAGTGGGGCATAAATAATTGAGATGTTGTGCACAGACTGTGGTCCCATTAAGATTTCCTCCTGCTGGTGTGCAGCCCCTCCTCACTTTTTTACAGCAAACCTGTAATATAATAGGGGTAGCTTTTGGATGCCATGGTTTGCTCTCATTTTAAAGTGCCTGTTTTTATTAGTGCTGGATTTATTGTGAAGGGGCAAAAATGGCCATGGAGTTAAATGAAACTGGGTTTTATTAAGCCAACCATTAAGGCAAGCATCAGGTCTCACAATCCTCGAGAAGATTCTTTTTCTGTTGTCTCTCAAGGTGCTTACAAATTATTCAGTGCCACTTCACTTCTTGCCTACTGAACCAAGAACAGCCCCATGTTCCTGGCAAAGCAGTGATTTTGCACCAAGAACAGGCTTTAGTATTTAGCATTTGGCTGCTAGTTACCATCTTTTTCACTCAGAAGCTTCCAGACTTGGGAAAAAAAAAACAAAACAAAACAAAAAACAACCCAGTTGTAGACTTTGTGAAGTCACTAATGGTTCTCTTTGCTGCCAGCAGATGTTGATGAGTGCACATCAAACCCCTGCTCCAACGGGGACTGTGTCAACACACCTGGTTCCTATTACTGCAAGTGCCACGCAGGTTTCCAGAGAACTCCCACCAAGCAAGCCTGCATTGGTAAGAAAACTCTTCCATTTCTGCTGGCACTGCAGATGTTCTGACCCCTCGCATCAGACTCCATTTGAATTTGAAAGATAGGAGTGCCATTTCAGTAAATCCCAGTGTTAAATCAGTTGGCGTTCTATATCTGGGCTGCCACCTCATTTGTTTTGTTGTTGTCTTTTAATATTTGTCCATTATTCTGGAATATCCATCCGGGGAATTTCCCAGACAGGAGTTCTAAAACATAAAAAATATTGAATTATAGGTGCTTTCTTGTGTATTCATGCAGATGAACATATGAGTAGGTTTTTAAAACTATTCATGAAGAAATTGCAAAGCATCACAAAATGTAACATTTGCTGTACATGTCTGTAAAAAATAATATTTTTCCCTGGTGCAAGGAGGCTAAATTCTTAACTTACTTTTGAACTTTTTTCTAAGCAATGTTTAAGTGATGTGCCAGTATTTTTCAAAGCAATAATTGTCTCTAAATGTATTTTCATCTTAACTGTAGTTCTCCATTTGTGTAGGATTTAGTTTGTTTTGCTTGGTTTGTTTTATTTTGGCTTGGTTTGTTTTTTCTTCCCCTTAGATATCGACGAGTGTGTTCAGAATGGTGTTCTTTGTAAAAATGGGCGTTGTGTGAACACTGAGGGAAGCTTCCAGTGCATTTGCAATGCTGGGTTTGAACTGACTACAAATGGAAAAAACTGTGTGGGTAAGGACCCTTCTAAAGAATGGGGCAGGCATTAGCTTGGTAGTTCTAGAAATTGTACTTAATGCTATGGGTAAGGATCATTGGAGATTACCTTTTTTGAAATACTGTGAAATTAGAGGCCCTCCATTCAAATAGTTATTGTACAGAACCACATGATCCCAAAGAAAATTTGAGGTAAGTTTTGTTTTTTAAAAGCTGGGCCTCTCCTCAAGAATCCTAAGAAAAATGTTTTTCCATAAAGCTTCACAGCATACTATCCATAAGTCAGAATTGCTGAAGAAAATATGTGTTTTTAAGTCTGGCTGCATGGTGTAAAGGAAAAATCATGCTAGATAAACAGCAAGTTTTATCCTCCCAGGCGATGGAAGCCTTTTGTCCTCTCATGTGTGAAAGGAAGACATGCCCTGTTCTTTCATACACAACCTGCTGAAATATGCAAAGCAACTGATCACATCACGAAAGAAAAAAATTGCTGTTTTTTCTGTGGAGTGAAATAAAGTATCTTGGGATACTTTATCAGAGTTATGATTAGAAATGAATCTTCAAGTGAAGAAATATGGCACGCCAGTCTTGACTGATTATTTTCACTGTGTTGTCTTCTGCAGGGTGAGAAACTAAAAGCAGTTTTCTTTGCAATGTTTTGTAGACCATGATGAGTGTGCCACAACAAACATGTGCTTGAATGGGATGTGCATAAACGAGGATGGGAGTTTTAAATGCATCTGTAAACCAGGATTTGTCCTGGCTCCAGATGGACGTTTCTGTACTGGTATGTGAAAATTAGGGCAGGGCTTTTGGTTGAAAATGGTTTTTCCTGTCTATTCATCCCTGCAAGAATGGCATTCTGGTCATATGGATTGATTAACACCTTGCTCCTCACTAAAATAGATTTCTTTGGCTGCCTGGAGACAGATCCTTAATTTACTGAAAGATGTATTTAACAGTGTTAGGAAAGCCACACTGATCAATAAATTAGCTTCTGAAAAATCTGGGAGCATTGTAAATGCATCAAAATATTCAGGCCCTTTGTAAAATGGTAAAGTGAGCAGCAGTATGGTAAATTTAAGAGGTTTGAAATATTTTACATTGACCAGCTTCCCCCCTCCCCCCGCATTTTCCACATGATTATTCTGATAATTCAGAGTGCATAGTACCTGAGTAATTTTATGGGTCACACAGCATTATAAACTTTTTAAAGTGCAATCACTAAAAACTTTTATTAAACATTTTAAGAATTATTAGCTGATTTAGCTTCCGTTTGAGCAAACTAATTGAAGATACCTGTTGCTGCCCACAGAGGTAGTTTTGAGCTTAAGCCACTTCCACTACATAATCTAAATTTTTAGTCTACTCATTTGAAACGGAACCATTTCTACTTGTTGTCCTCTTCTTAATAACATGCAGTTGTGCTTAGAAATTGATGACCACTTAAAAGTTATTTGAAATTAAAATTAGCCATCATAAGGATATTTTGTGTCTAGTGCTCTTTAGCCATACTTTAATGCAAAATTAAAATATCATGGGATGGGCAAAAGGGAAAATTTATCGTTGATTTTGCTTGATGTGGAATATGAAGTACTTCTAATTCTATAGTTCTTCGTGTTTTGGGATTTTTTGTTTCTTTGTTTGTGCAACTGAAATTTTGATTATTTCCAGATTAAAGTTTTATTAGAAACAAGCAAAGATATTGTTATCTGCTATCATAAAGTAAATTGATAATGTTGTGAAAATATTAGCTGTAATCTTGCTTAAAGCCAGATTGATTGATGAAATGTCGTGCCTCCTCTTAGATATTGATGAATGCCAGACATCAGGAATTTGCATGAATGGTCATTGCATAAATACTGAAGGCTCATTTAGGTGTGACTGTCCACCTGGCTTGGTTGTTGGAGTTGATGGTCGTGTGTGTGTAGGTAAGTCAGATCTATTATTTTTTCATAATAGAAAAACAAGTGGGATTATTAGGTAAATTAGTTATCAAATACATTAAATTATTTCCTTCTGAATAATGTTGACGTCTTGTTTGTGGCAATCCCATAATCCTGTTGTTAAAATACAAGAAACTCAATTTCCTCTGTGGAATTGGAGAGGCAGTACCTCTTGTTTACCTGTTGCTCCTATAAAAGTAAGCTTAAAATGCCTACTCTTCCTGGCATCTCCTTTTGGTTTTGAGACATACTCTTTCTAATCTGATGAAAAATAATATTTTGCTATGTAATCAGCCTCTTATCCTCTCAAATGGTACTGGCTGGAATTTAAGAGGTTCTTCACTAAACTCTGCTAGGAGCTCTAGCATATCTTCAGGGAGGTCTTGGGACAAAAAATGAATAATTTTCAAGATGATGAATTAAAAGAAGTGTGGAGGGTAAGAAGTATTCAATCCCTCATTCTCTTGCTGATTGCTGATGAGGAGGGATGAGAGGAATAAATATTTGACAGGGATTTCTGAGAGTTATGATACTGTGTGTACTTTGTAAAATTCCTTAATTTAATCCACAGGAGATATCATCTTTTCCCTGTGTGTATCAGAACATCAATTCTATATCGCCAAAATTTCTCCTTCCCCAGCTCCTGCATGTGTCTGTCATCAGGCATGTTAGTGAGCAGAGGCTCTACAAGAATCATATTTATTAATCAGTAATTAATCATTAATGACTGTTCTTGCTGATGGATTCATGGGTGTTGTATCTGCCTTTGTCTTATCAGCATATTTCCAGATAATGGGAAAACAGCATCACAATGGAGTGATGAACTTGGAAGTTCTCACACCAAAGGAATGGGACATACTAAATCTTCGTGTTGCTGTAATCAGCTCAAATAACATTTCAGATGGTGCTAAAGTTCAAAACTCTTAAAAACAAGACCTAGGACAAGTGTTTCTACCAAGTACCAGCACAAGCTAGCCCCTTCTGTTATCACTTCAGCTCTAAAAATGTATGATAAAAACTGAGACTGTCTTAAAAACATAGGCTCAAAAAAAGCTAAAACACACTCTCAGTTGGAACCCAAATTTTGTTGTTTTAAGTAAATTAAATGTTCTAGCAATCAAAACTGTACTAAAGATTGAACCAACAAAAGCAAGTTGTGTTCCCTCCTGTGTGGTAGCCGAGTTGTTTTCTTCTGGTTTATTAAAAGTTTGGAGGAAAGCAGTGAGAAGTTAAACAATGAGAAAAGGCCTTGTGTACTCTTTTAAATATTGGAATTTCACTGCTCAGTGGCACACCAGCAAAACCAGATTTGAGTACAGGCTGTTCAGTACCTTTTTTGTGTTCCAAGTTGGCCTCATCTTTACCCCTGTCAGTGATACAGCTGCAAAGAATCAATACAGTACTCAATTTTCTGTGCTTTCATTTACCTGATGTTGCCACAGTACTAGCAGCAAAAGGCTTGACAGGTTGGGCCATCATCTGTGAACACCATTTATTTGAAGTTACGCTTTAAGGTTTACCATAAAAGCTTGCATTTTCGACAGGAACTTCCCTTCCTAGGACAAAAAATCTTAAAGTGGAATCATGATCTAGTTGGAAAATTCATTAACAAAAGATGATGTAATTATTCCAGCCATAAAGTAACATAGCGAATTTCAAATGCTGTATAGCAAAATATCCTCATACAAGAGTTGAGAATAGAATTTCCAAGCCAGTCCATGTTCAGAATTGTGTATGTGTGTTTATATGTAATCTACATGCTTTGTTAACTACAGGAATTCTGTGTCTGGCTATGCTATTCTGCATATTGCGTGACCTAAATAATAATACTTTTCAGACATTCTGGCTGCTAGAAGATCATTGGTAGTTTGAAAATTAATAACTTAAACTGGACATCTTGTTGGAGCATTCCCACAAGTCTGCTAGGTAACCAGCAAGGAATATAAAATCTAAGAGCCCACAGTTCAGTTGTCCCCTTTTTCTCTGAGCTCTATTTTACTTCTGAGTAATAACCTTGATCCCGGTGGGAGTACACATAGAAAGAAAATGCTGTTTTACTTAGTATTTATAAATATGGCTGAGTCAATCACGAAGTGTTATACAAGCTTGAAAAAGGTACAGCAAAGGGGAACAAATGCTTGGAAAAGGAACAGTTACAGAGTCATGGAACAGCTAGATAAATACTTGGAGCCAAACTTCCAATATCTGAATATTTGCAGGCTTCTTAGGTTTGGCTGTACTTCCAGCTGCAGCTCCACACTTGGATACCTCAGCTGGCTCTGCGTGTGAGCGTGCATCACCTCAGAACGTATGCTGAGCTGTGGCTCCAGCTTCACACAGTGCTGTTTGTTCTCTGCTGAGACACTTCTAATTACCTCTGCCCAGAGCCAGAGCCATCCAGGGCAGAGTAACTAAGCTTTATTTTACCCTGGTAATTTTGTAGAGCCAAATGGGTGTTTGTCATAAGCCTGATTTGTCCTCCTAAGGCTCCTGGATGGGTGCAGTGACTTTCCCCGAGTGTGGGTCAAGCACTGGTCCACCTGATACTGACCACAAATGTGGTGATGATAATTTTTGTAGGTTTTGAAGTGTTACATCTCCAAATTTAAGGGTGTAGAAGTGCCATGCCTTGGGACAGAGTGGACAGTCCCATAAACAGGTAAACAGCAGCAGCAGTGGTAACCTCTGATCCAGGGCAAAAAATAAATTCTTGATGCTCTGAAATGAGTAGCCAAAGGCTAATCAAATTAAACATGGGGAGCAGCACAGGTTCACAGGAATGGAGAACCTCAGCTTTGTGAGGTGCTGCAGCAATTGAATCATCCTCAAAGAAGTGCCTGTCCTTCTCATTCTTGCTCATAGCACAGCCCAAGGGGGACATTCTCCCTGTCACACAATTGCTGTTTTGCTTGTGGGAGAGGCACCTTCATCCTTCATGGGCTTAGTGAATCACTGACTGTGTAGATCAGACTGTTTCCCTGTAACTCGGCTGAGATTGTCCCCAAGTTCTCTGTGTCACTTCTCTAAGAGCACTGATATGTGCTGAAGCACTTGTTTTCTTCTGCAGAGCAGCTGCTCAGTACATCTGTAGCTTCCTTCAGCTACTTCCCACACTCCACATCTTTGAAGGCCTTCCTCCAGAGCATTTCTTTCACACTTTCCAGTCTTCTGTCCCTCTGCAGTTTCCCTTGGTGCCATTTTCTTCCCTTGCTTTGATTCTCCATTCCCTCACAGATGCATTACAAGGGGTAAGCCTCCCCTTCTGTAAGAGGGCAGTGATTGAAGTCCTTTGTTCATGGCAGAAATTGTCAGGGTGGCAACTGGAATTATCTTAGATGGAGGGAAAGGATTTGATGCCCCTAATTATTTTGCAAAGGAAACTAACAGACACTGATTGTGCAAAAGTCCTTGACTGTTTTCAAGCATCATAATTTTTTCCTGATGTCAAGTGCAAGCGAGTTGTACTGGCTTCACCTAGATTCTTGGCAAGGAAAAAACTCTAAAATATAGGACATGTGTAGCTGTGCTGCAGAACTATCTGTTCCATAGGATATCAAAAGCAAGAGAAAACATGTATTTGCAGGCAGTATTGTAATACAGGAGCCAGCTTACAACACTCAAAGGGCCTACAGAACACATAAGGAATTGCCAGTTCTTATTTTGGTTGGCCAAGTATATTCAACATTGACTGTAAAACTTCTCATGCAACTTTTCTTTGTTGTTTTGGGGTCATACTTCAAGCAAGGAGCTGTCTGGATTTCCTCAAACCCTTTTCAGCTTCTGAGTCCACTCAGGCTCATGTCCAGGCCACAGTGCATGGTGGATTAACTGGGGGACTGACAAGGAGCATAAATTAAAGCTGTGTTCTGTTCTGGCCCATAAAGATACCTGAAACAAAGACTATTTCTGCAGCTCCTAGAGTGTCTGTAGAATTTTAGGAGTCAAAAGTAAAGGCTATTTATGTGTATCCTGAAGTTCTCAGCTACACATTATTAGAAGGACTGTTCAATCACATGATTGTTCAAAGATCTCTAATGTTATCCTGTAAGCAAAGATGGGAAAAATCACTGAAGCTTAGAAAGACCAAAACCAGAAAAGTACAACAAAGCCCCAAAGAAATGCACAAAAAGCAGTCTCAGAGACATTCTCATAGTTCTTGGATAAGTATGGGAAATGATTATTCCTGTAAAGGTAGGTATGGAGTTGTGTCTTGGAAGATGCTTCTTCCTGCATCTCACTCGTCAAGGTTATCAAATTGATTTAGGTTATTAAATCAGCTGTAAGATTGGCAGTGACTACGTGGTGAGTCATACAGGTGTATGGTTGGCATCTATAATTTTTCTGCCGTCTTTTTTTTTTTGGCATGATTTTTGGGGTTGAAGAACTTTCAGGTGTTCTGTGTTTTGTTTGTGTGATAAGCATTGGTTTATCCAGGCCACCATTTCCAGGCCTCTCCCCAAGGACGGCACTTTAACTTCCAGAGTGTGTTTTTAATCACAACCCCCCTGAAGTTTCTCGTAGTCTGGGCAGTATCACTGCTTTCCTCACTGCCTAGCTGTGTGTAAAATTTGCTAGATTGCTGTTCCCAGCTAGATTTTGAGGCCTCTTTGGTGTGCTAAACCAGCACTGGTGTCTGTTTATGTATAAACCAATTTAGATGGTCATGTCACATAAATGCTGGTCTGAGCAATCTGCTAAAATGGCACTTCTGTTTGTGATTTTGTAAATACAGCTGGAGACCATGCTCTTCCTTCCAGAAGCAGGTATTCTCCTGTGTAATACCTGCCCTAGGCTGCTGGTGAGTTATCCTGCCTGAGGAAACATTTTGGACATCAGAGATGTCTGTGGTACTTCCCAAAGGGAAAAATCAGCCACCACATGCTGATCCAGGCCGTTCTGTGTTTCTCACTGGAATATTTGTTGATGGATTTACAGAGCTGCTTCAGGGTGCAGGTCACCTTTTCTGGGTCCTTTGGAATGCCTTTGAATTTAGTAAAAAATTCCTGCTTTAGGAGAGTTGAAAGTGCTCTGGAGAAAGCCCCAGGAGGTAACCACACTGAGAATTGGCCTTGGTGTCATCAAGATTATTGAGGCAGTGCAGATGTAGCCAGCGTGACCTTTTTGCTGACCAAAAATAAGGGATGGTATGCATGCATTTCACTCTCAGCTTAAGGAAATAATTACTTCTTCCCTTGTCCTTTTCCTTCAGATACTCACGTGCGTAGCACATGCTATGGAGGCATCAGGAAAGGGCTGTGTGTCCGTCCCTTCCCTGGTGCTGTGACAAAGTCTGAATGCTGCTGTGCCAGCCCTGACTATGGCTTTGGAGAGCCGTGCCATCCCTGCCCCGCTAAAAACTCAGGTAAAATTTTTCTGCTTCTTCGAGTGGTACAGTGAACATACAGACTTTAAACAAAACTCTTGCTGAGATCACACTGCTGGTTTATTTCATGCCCTAAAGAAAAGTGAGCAGGGTGAATCTGGGTTCCTGAATCAAGTGTTTGCTATAAGGAATAATTCTTGCAAGAGAATAAGCAGAATTCTCTAGTGAATTTTCTGGTTCAGTCAATCCGGTTTAAAAGAGCTGGATTATTTCTAGAAATCTGTATTTCATTTTATATGAGTCAGTTCTCTAAGTAAACCTGAGAATTGATTTAAAAAAAAAATCTCTTGACTACAGAGCTGAGGTGATGCATCTAGGACAGAATTTCCATTTAGTATTGTTTTCTGAAGCAGCAGAAAACTATTTAGAAAAAGGCAAGTAAAACTGGCAGTGTAATTAAAAGCAATAACTTGAGAGGACAGTTGTGTCAGGGCTGTAAAGAAATCACCTGAGTTTTTAACTCTGGTCATCTAATTTTGGTTTTATATGTATATATGGAAGTTCAGGATGCAGTGCTACCTTACAGATTTAACTAAATGATTATTTCATGTGAATATTGGCATTTTGTTAGTTACACTGTAGAGAAATTACTTTGGATAAAAAAATCATGTGGGTTTAGTTTAGAATGAAAGAAGGTGAAATACTGGAAATAATATTTTCTTTTCCTCAACATCTCCACCGCAACTGAGCAGCTGAGTTCCATGGCCTGTGTAGCAGTGGAATAGGTATTACTGTTGATGGAAGAGGTATGTTACATATTTTCTTTAATTTATATGGTTGTCCTGATTTAGGGCAAATTTCGGGAGGATATTTCTGAAGTGTTTTTTTCTAGAAAGCAAATTTAAGTGGCCCCTCCCCCAGGCCATTCAGGAGGTAAATTTCTTTCAAGAAAATTGGAAAAAACTGTTTAAGAACATTTTGTTGTTAACACTGAAATGCTGTTACATTGATATTTTAACAACCAGTTAACAATTTAACAACTCAGCATCATAAATTTACCCCAGGATGATGAGTCAAAGCTGAGAAAAATAATCCTCAGAGTTATATTTTTCAATAACTTGAGTGGAGTTTTTAACTTCAAGATTAATATGTTAATTTTAGTATTTTAATTCTCAGACTACAATATTTGAATGTTGCCTAGAAAAAAGGCTGGAATTAATTTTCTAGTGGATTTTGCCTAACCCTCTCAAGAAAAAAAAGTAATCTGTTTCAGAGTTCTGACTTGTGATTTTTTTTTTTTTTTTTTTTTTTTTTTTTTTTTTTGAGATTAGAGATTTTTTTCAGGTTAGGTAGGTATAAAACAAGAGTTCTCTCTCATTTAACAGGAGTCATTTTCATTTCCAGTTGATTTTCAGTCATCTGGGATAGTAATAGAGCAGTTTTTCACTCCAGATCCAGTTCTCACCCATGGATCATTTCCATGGACAGATTGTATCTCTGTAGAGTTAAAAATTGGAAGGGAGCTTAACTGAAAAAAACATATCCGTATGAAAATAAGTCCTGAAAGTGACAACTTGCATTTAGTATTGGGAACTCTAAAGCTACAAATCCTTTTCTTAGTACCACAGAGACGGGGATTTTAAAAAATAATGGCTGAGCCAGGTCTGAAGCAGGGGCAAAGCATGCTGCAGCTGCCAGATAAGTAAAATGAGTTGAAGGAATAGGAGAATACAGGAACATAAAATTTATTGCTGGTTGTTTGTCAGATGTGTTAATAATTATCCTGGTCAGCATTAAAGCTCCTATTCTGTGCAGCAGGAACAGAGTAAGAACTCCAATCATTACACTTAGTAGTAGCCTAAATAACTTCTAAAAATAGCACTTATATAATAAATTCTCTTTTTGTTCAGTACTCTATCCGCGTAGTTTTTTTCTTTATTGCTTAACATGCTATAAGCTTGTATGAGTAATTTGAAACCCATGGAATTTATGAATTCCCTCAGTTTACTTTTCAGTGAATTATACAAGGTCCATTGAATAATCTCCAAATCTCAGAGAAATAATGTCAGCATTCAGTAATACTATTGTACAAGCAGCACCCTACCATAAGAATTTGCATGCAGCCTGGCAGAGAGGTTCATGTCTCCTTTTGGACACATGCAAAATACAATTTCTCCTTAAAACACTGAAACAACTGTGCTCTCTAGCAAGAGCATGACAAAATCATTCATGTCTCAGCTGAAGTCCTCTTTTGTTCAGGTTTCTGGAGCAAACACGGGGTTCTCTGTGCCTCTTGTACAGCAACATTGCAGCCAATTTTCATGCTGCTGCTCCTGTCACTACTTGTACACTCCTTGTGTGGCTTGTCCCCAAGATCCAAACGTGTCTAGTGAGCTACAGAATGCATTTTGCTCTAAAGAAAACACAAATCTGAAGTGGCATGCCAAATCGTATTTTCTTACAAAGTTTTTCAGATGTCTCATAGCGTTGAGTTTTATCCAGGGGTGGCATGGTTTTTCCCAAGTGCATATATGATTAAATGTAAATCAGGATCTAAACTGCACTGTGATTAAAGAGGAAATGCTCTCCACAAAAAGTTTCACCCTACAAGTATAAAACAAGTCTTTCATGAAGTCACAGCTAGGCCAGCACCCTTTCTGTCCAGGGTTTGGGAAAGGAACTATTTAAAGTAATGGGCTTACCATATGAGAAGAAGGAAAATATTGAAAAACCCTCTTTTCCTAAGAGGCAGGGAATATTAAAATTAGCCTGTTCCTCTTCTTACAGTTCATATGAATACTTTGGACCTGGGTCCAACTACAGCAGACATTTTATATGGAACTGTAAATTCAGGGTATATAACTCATCCATCATCCTGTTCTGTCTGTCTGAGAAAAATTTTAAATTTCCCACAAGTTCTTACAGGACTGAATATTCTGTAGCTTTGACCTATGCATTACTTCTTTGCTCAGAAAATTTGTGTGTCAAGTAATAATTTATAACTTCTTGCCTAGATCCCTAAACCACAGGCAGAGGCTAGGTATGTTACATCAAGGTTTTTCTTACAAACACATAATTCCCTGTCAGCTTAGGTTGGAAAGGATATCTGGAGGTGATCCAACCTAACCTTCTGCTCAGAGCAAGGGTATCATCAAAGTTGAACCATTTCTCAAAGCCTTGCCTGGGGGAGTTTGAAAAATCTCCGAGGATGGAGTTCCATAGCTTCCTCCAGTGCTTAGCCACACTCATGAAGAATTGTTTTCCTGGTGTTTAAATTAAATTTCCACTGTTGTATCTTGCAAGTGCTGTCTCTTGCCATGTCATTGTGCATGTCAAAGAGGTGGCTCCATCTTGTCTGTAATCATCTGTTAAAATCAGGGAAGTGCTGTTACAGGTCCCTCTGATAGTCCCTCTTTTCAGCTGAACAAATCCAGTCCCCTCAGCCTCTTCTTAGACCTGATGCTGCTGAGGGAATTTAACCACACTGACATGAGCTGTGTGTAGTCCAGGAGACACTTGGAACACTCTGAGGGGAAAATTTCTTAATCTAGGTGATAGTTTAAACAGAGCAGAGGCATCACTGGATGCGTTGATTAGCAACACAGATGAACTAATGAACTAATTAGTGATGTCCAGACTGATGGCTGTCTGGACTGCATTGGTGATGCCCTGTTGGAACTCGTGCTGAGTTGAGGGGTGTGGCCAGGTGGAGGGTAAAGACAGCACCCTGAATTTCATGAGCATCAACTCCCAGTTGCTTAAGGCATCACTGAATGGGATTCCCTGGAAACTGCCCTCAGGTTTAAAAGAGCAGAATAGAACTTTGAGGATGTTTTCCTGAGATCACAAGAGCTCTTTGTTCACACGTGTAAGAAACCAGGCAAGGAGGTAAAAGACCAACGTGGCAGAGTAAGGATCAAGCTGAAGTGTGAGAAGGAAATGCAGTGTCAGTGGAGCCAGGGAAGAATGCTGTGAGGAGCAGAGGAAAGCTGCCCAGATATGTAGGCACGGGATTGGGAAAGCTATGGCACTCTGGGGCTGAGTTTTGCAAGGAATGCCAGGAGCATGACAGGCTTTGGTTGGTGCACAGGAGGCTTAAGGAGGGGCCCATGTAAAGTGGCCCAAAACTGGATGCAGTATTCCAGGTTTGTCCTTCTGGTGTCAAATAAAGGACAATAATCACCTCTTTCAGCCTTTGGGCTGCACCTGTGCTGTGCCTGGGCTCTGACTGAGAGCTCCAGTGAGTCAGGTGCTGCCCACAGCTCTCACAGGAACAGGTCTGTCATACCTGGCAGTGTCTGATTATCTTCTGCTGTTGTGCTAATGCAGACATTAACGAGTGTGCTCTGGATCCTGATATTTGCTCCAATGGGATTTGTGAAAACCTGCGAGGCAGCTATCGCTGTAACTGCAACAGTGGCTACCAGCCTGATCCTGCTGGAACCAATTGCGTGGGTAAGTTGTTGGTTGTTTTCATATTGTGGCTGAATTATTTATCATTTCTTTCATGCTGGTTTGACCTGACAGAATTTAGGTCACAAGACATCTGCTTCTTCAAGCTACAGTCAAAATGCAAAAAACTTGGAGTGATGCTTTTCTCAGTCGCTGCATAATTGTTATTCTTACTGTATATACTGTATATTTTACTGTGTTGGTGTTTGGGTTGTGTAAGCAGGAGGTAACATTGCAGGTTTCACTCTCCATCTAATTAACTTTATTATTCATGACCATACATAAAATCCAGTGGTTTTTTTTTTTTTTTTTTCTTTTGGGAATTCTTACATCCAGAAAAAGTGTGTTATACATCATGTTGCCTTGTAGTTTTAAGCAGAAAGGCAAAGTTTGTTTAAATTAAAACCTAATGGAACTCTCTCAGAAACCATCAGGATGTCCAAAGTATTGTCCTTAAGTACTTTGTTTATTTTGGTAAATTATTGCTCTCTGCACTTGATGGTTTACTGACCTATCACTGCTGTTTGTGCTTAGCAAAAGTCCACCAGTTTTGCTGGGAAAAACCTGGTATATATAGGTGTGGTATAGTTTTCAGATCAAACATTCCTTCCTGGTGATGCAAAGCCAACACAAAGTAAAGAAAGTGTCTCCTTTTATCTGCATGACTAAAGGAACTTTACATCTAGTTACTTCCTAAAGCCCTAAATATGACCTTTTGGCAGGAAAAGCACTGTTGCAGAAAAGTGTTGGTGTTTTTATTTTTAAAATGCTTCATGCAATATTTGTTCTCCAAGTGGATTTTTTGGAAAGGGGTTTTATTTCACTAGTTACTCTTGGGATTAGGTAAATGCTAGAATAATCTATGTATTTACTTAAATAAAGCTGACTGAATGCAAGCATGTGTTTATTCGTGGATATAATTTTTCCATAAAAGAATTTAAGTGTGAACATTCAGATAAAAGATTGAAAGATTTTAATGAATGACACAGTTTATGAGATGCCAGGAAATAAAAATGGGTTCAGTCAGAATGCAGGCAGTATTTTTGTCAGGTCTGAGTGAGTTTAAAGCATGAACTACATTGTTCAGTGTTTTTACAGAGCATATCACAACAGATTATAGTCCAAATCTGAAGTTATTCTGTGAGATTCCAATTAAATATTGCATTCATCACACTATATAGTTTGGGCCAAAGGATTTTATGAAAACCAGCTCAAAAGTGCTCTTGAAAATGTCAATTTACAAATCTGTCCTCCTTTCCTTGGTTGAAATCAGATGAAGTTAGATTAAGGACAGATTAGTAAAGAAGAGGTTTTTTTTTTTCATTCATGGCTGCCAGACTTAAATCTTGGATTCATCATCTGGGGAAATGGAGGCTTTGTTGCCTGAATCCTACAGGAATAAGCACAACTTGGAATATCTAAAGAAGTTGGGGAAACCAAAATTCTCCAGATTGTAATTATATTGCTTTCTCACTTCTATATTTTTAAACTTAAAAACTCTCTAAAAATCTGCTTAAGATTTCAGCTGCAGTTTGGGAAATCAAGCAGTCAGTAAAGAGGAGACAGCCTGAATCAGGATGAAATGTCATGTTTATCCCGACTTCTTCCATCAGTTTTCTTCTATAAACATAGGTTATTTTAACATGTGATGGACATTAAAAGAAAAAGCTTAAAATTATAGTTTTCTTCTTTCAGAGAATAAATAGTAGGGCAATGATGAAGACACACTACACTTTATTAGAATTTTTTTCAGTTAGTTTAAGGGGAGTTCAGGGAATTATGTTGCTATATGGGATTTTCCTAGTCAATGTGCTTAATCTCCTGGTCTTAATAATAATACATTTTTAAATACAGTCTTCTCTGGAGGGGAGGTGTTATGTGTACTCTTGAGATGGTTGCCATGCATGAACCATACAGGATAGACTTTAATCCACTTCATGGATAACAAAAACAATTTTAGCCTTTTAAAATTATAAAACAGAGTTTAAACAGTAAGTAACATACTGCTGTTTGGGTGTTTAAATAAAATAAATAATTAAATTACTGTTTTCAAATCAAATAGACCTCCATGAATTTATATGGAGTAGCCATACAAATGACAGAGATCATTGTCATTTGACCAAGGTCATTGACCAAACTCAAATGACCAAGGTCATTGCAGGATAATAAAATTAATCTCTTGAGACGAACCGTGAACCAATTTTTGAGTTTGCTAGTGAAAAAAAACCAGCTTTGAAGTCAGAAGAGAGATTTTTTTTTTTTTGCAGTAAAAACCTGTAGGTGGGTTAAGAGCTTTGAAAGTCAGAGCTGTGAGTTCTGCTCACGGTGTGTGTCCCGTCCCTGCAGATGTTGACGAGTGCTCTGTGAACGGGCTGCTGTGTGACAACGGGCTCTGCCGGAACACCCCGGGCAGCTACAGCTGCTCCTGCCCCAGGGGTTACCTGTTCAGCTCGGAGACTGACACCTGTGAAGGTGAGCAGCCTGCACCTCCTCTCAGATCTGGTGTTTCTTCTGTCGCGTCCAAGCGGAACCGTCACGGGAGTGGTGGCAGATACCAGAGAGAGCTGTGGTGTTGCATAAATATTCACATTTCTCTTTTAATTTCATGCTGTTGAAATTCTTTCAAAGAAAAAATTTAATTTTATATGACAACGTTTTCCTTTGCTTAGCTACAACATTTTTTAAACTACAATACGTGCTTGCCTTTGATCATGTAGCAGGAGTACCATATCTGCCATTTAACAAAATGTAATTGTCTTGATCAGAGTCTCCTTTTTCTTTTCTCCCTTCTTCTCTCCCTTCAGTCTGCAGTGATATGTTATTCTAGATCAAATCCTGTTATCCGTGATTCATTCCAGGACCTGCCTAGTTATACTTAAATTGTCCGTTATTTTCATAGTATTTCATTATATTTTCATATAATCAAAATTGCTTTCTTATATTACTTCTTAACACAGATGTTAAAGCCGCAAAAACATCATACAGCAGAAACTAATTGAGAAATTTTAGTTACTTTAAATAAATACTCTGAAAACTGCACCAAAAAGGTAAAATTGCAATCGTTAGCTTATGAGCCAACTCTTAATTAATATTTGGAATAGTAGAATTTAATGGTCTTCTCCTTTATTTTTTGTTTGGCTCCACAGTCTGTAAATCTCAGTATTTGTAGTCATTAGCAAGTTTTTATAGTAGATGGTTTTTCATTTCTTAGAGTGATGGGGAAGCTGTAGTTCTTTGTTGCAAAACATTAATCATCCAGATTTTTCTGAAGTGATGGAAAGTATTATTGCCTTCATCTCATTATTATTGATCAGGTAGAAGTTACTGCCATACAGCTAAGCAAACACATAGAAATGAAAGTGGTAATGTTTTAAATTCTGTCAGTATAAAATCATTCACTTGTTCTGTACAAAGCATCTTCACCCCTTCTATGCAAAAGAAATTACATTCCTTTATATTTTAATACATGTGGGTTTCAGAGGATACCTTTAGAAGTTAGTTCTTACTCTTTTTGCATGTTACAAATTGGTACCACTTGTTCAGAGTGGGGCTTTTCTTGTGCCAGCCCTTGTGGACTTGCAGAGCTTTCTGTGCCAAGTTTTCTCAGTGCCTATCTATCTTCCCACAGTGCTGAGGAATTTATTCTCCAGGGTCTGTCTCTGTGATTAGTGCCTGTGAAAACAGTGTGCTGTGTGCCCTTAATGTACATGTTTCTTGAGGACTCTTCTAGGCAGAGAAACTGTGGTAAGGGAGGTGCTCACTACCAAGAACATCAGAGCCAAAAAACTGACCTAAAGCTGGGTGGATGAGAAGCCAGAATGCAGACAACCCGGCCAATCCTGTTGAAATAAAATGTATCTGCTTTTTCAAACAAAAAATTTGGATTTATTTCTTAATCGCAATGATACTATTATTATGAATACATCTTTAATCTCATCCTTAGATTGATGTCTAAATTTAGCCTGTGAGGTAAAAAAAAGCTGGTCAGGAGGGGTTTTGTGTAAAAGTGTCTGTAAAACCTATTAAATGTGTTACATTTTTACTCACATAGGGTTGGCAGCAGAGAAAGAAATTATTCTCTTTCTGCCCAAATCCTGTTTCTTATAATTCGTTTTGGAGTTGTAAGTTCACCAGTTGTAAAAACCTGCTGTAGTCAGGAGCTCTGTGTTGAGCACTGAAAATGCTCTGATGCTTACTAGTCATCAGGAAATTTTTACTGTGATTCTCATCACCAACTCTGAAGAAATAACAAAACTCTTGTTTTGTTTGTAGTTCAACTGAAATTTTTTATCAGTTTGTTGCGAGGAGTAGGAGACCTGTTTGAGGCACCAGAGTCTGTGAAAGTTGAGATTTTTATGACAAGCTCCATGGTTTAGTTTGTGTTTCCAGTGACATAACTAGTTAAATGTAAACCAGATGTGCTTTGAAGTTCATTTCCAGGAATGTACAGTGGTCTGTTTCAATTTTTCTTTCTCTGACGTTTACAATGTATGCTCACTACACTTGAGAGAAAAAAAAATTAAAACACACCTCAATAAATATCTTCATACATAGCAGGTTTTATTTTACCATACAGAATAGTGTTAAAATCCATTTGATTTGTTGATTACTCTTTTAAAAATTACCAATTCAGTGTTATTGTGAAAAGCTGTAGGGAAACAATTTTTGGATTTTGTTTACATTGGGCATATAATACTTTTTCACTTGATTCAGCAGTGCAGTCATGCTGAAATGCACTTAATATAATCTTTTAATTTTATTTTCTTTCCTGGATGGTGATTTTGGGATGCAGTCAATGCACTATTATCAGGCTATTGCTATCCAAATTTATTTGGCTTGGGGGGGTTGCTTCTTTTTTTTCTTCTTACTTAGCATAGTGATAAAGCATATCAAATGCAGAAAGGCCTAAAGCATGGCCAAGGAAGCCAAGAGAGCTGACTTTGCTTTTCAAAAGCTATTGAATTTTAGCCCTTCTATCTCCACTTACTTGCTTCTTTTTTTGGAATTTCAGGGACATTGGCTTCCAAGTGTGGCCCTCAATTATTTTTGTCAGGTTTTTGTTTAAACTCTGAAAATTGGAAACAAAAAATGTCTTTTCTTAGAAGAAAACTAGCTGTAATCCCACCTTGCTAAATGCCAGGGAAAATCAAAGATAGGCACGATAATCTCGTATTGCCCCCATAAATATGAAGCAGTTTAATTTTCATGCATCTTCTTGAAGTGATGATTTAGACAGTGGCACCTGTCTGCTTTTATTTTGTCTTGTGCATTGATTGTGTCTGTGCAATCCTCTGTTTGAGGTCAGCTGCCAGCTGTTAAAACAGTGTGACACTTGACATGAAAATCACCCATTTTCAGCTTTAAGTACCTTCACAGATGATTCTTGGTCCCTCATGGAAATTTCTCTCACATTGCAACTTAGTAAAAGATTTGAGGATGTCTCGTGTTTGTTTGTCCTGATATTTTCTCTTTTGCTTTTTGTTTTTTCTGTGTTTTTTTTTTTTTTTTGCTTTTTTTTCAGTTTTGTTTAGGTTTTTTGGGCGGGGTGGTAGATGGAGAGTTTTTGCTCGGGTTTTTTTTTTCCTGGGGATTTGTTTTCTGCGGCTTTTTTGCTTTTGTTTTGCCTTTTGTGCTTACTTTTTTTTTTTTTTTTTTTTTTTTTTTTTTTTTTTTTTTTTTTTTTTTTTTTTTTTTTTTTTTTTTTTTTTTTTTTTTTAGGAACCATTTTTGTTTCTCTGCAAAAGCAGCAGAGAGCTCTCCCCACCACCAGGTATTGCTGGCTGGGGAAGCCAGAGAGTGGGAAGCAACAGAGGCAGGTAGCATTCCCTGGGTAATAAAAACTTAAAAACTGAGGTAATATAATATAAAATATATCCACAGGGAGGAGAATTCCTTGGTGCAGAGCAGATAATTGCTGGTGAGGACTCTGGATTGCCAGCTTTGAAGCAGAGGGACTTGGGAGTTTATTCTGTCAGAACTAACAATAAGGCACATTGTCTTGACCTGATGAAGCCTCTTAGATTTTACATCCGTGTCGCTGTGTATAATTAATCTGTAAAATGGGCAATCCACATTTTAAAATCAGGCTTCAGAAACGTAAAGCCCTTTTGTTGTTCAGAAAGTAACTGACAGTCCAGGATAAGTCCTGTTTGCTCTTTGTAGATAAGTCCATTAAGGAAAGGATCTGTGAAAGCTGGCTTTTAAATTAAATTCTTTTTTTGGCATGAAGAGATTCATCACAGTTTCCAAAGTTTACTGATTCTGGGCATTTTTATCTCTCTCTACCTTGCTTTATTTTTTTTTTTCTAATTAATACATGCATATTATTATATATATATTTGGAAATGCATTTCTTCCTGTGATGCACATCTCTAATGAAATGAAAGCTTGATGCATTATAACAAAATAGCAAATTGAACCTCTTAGAAAACTTGAAAAAAAAATATGAAGGACATGTCACTTTGTCTTGAAAATGATCTCTTGATGCTATTAATAACCCTACTGCTTAGCTAGATATGACATTAGGTTATAATTAATTTAAATTAAGATGGTTTAATTTATAGATACTACAAGATATTCCTCAAGCACTACTTGCAAATATAAGCAAGCAACTCAACATTTTTTACTTCAAGTCTGCCAGAGGGAACTGGCTGGATTAGAATGTATGGCTTGATTCAGGATGAATATAAATAAAATAAATTGGTTGGGTTCAGAAAGAAATGGTGGATATGCATCAACAGTTCTTGGAGAGAGTGTGTTTTACAGTTTCAATCTTAAAACTGATTTCACTTAAAAAAATCCGCAAATAATGCTGTTTGCAGGGGTCCTATTCTTGCATGTGAACAAGTTTTAAAACCTCACAGGGACAATAAACAGGATTTTGGGGCTAAAAAGAAGTACCATTTACAGTATTGCAATTAAACTGCTATTTCTTCAACGTTTCCATAACTAGAGAATTGCAGCCAGCATTGTGATATTTTGCTTCCGACAGGGTTTTCTTAATTCTTCTCATGGAGCCATAAATGGCAGAAACAATGAGGGCTTTGTTTGTGCTCTGCGTTGTGTGGCTGGGAATGCATTTTCATTCTGTGAAAAAAGAGGGTTTTTTTTCTCACAGAACAGTTGTAATTGATGCTGGAGAACTTTGTGGCCCATGGTGTTGGAAATTAATTGTCCTTGTAGAAAAGTGCCATTTAATTAACACCTCCAAGATATGTGCACTTCTAAATACAGGCTACCTGGCTGTCCCTGTATCTTTTGAATGTCTTGCTGGGAGGAGAGGATGGGCAAATATTTCAGGCAGTCCTGGCCCCTCACAGTCCACAACAGCATTTAGGGAGTATAAATTACTGTGTACTACTTCCCAGAAGCACTCTGTAGTTCTAATAATGCCTTTTGTTTCTGGATTACAGATATAAATGAATGTGAAAGCAGCCCATGTGTCAATGGTGCCTGCAGGAACAACCTTGGGTCGTTCCACTGTGAATGTTCATCTGGCAGCAAGTTGGACCCTACAGGACTGATTTGTATTGGTGGGTGTTTCTTCCTTTTGTTTTCCCTTAAAAAAAAAAAAATAGATATATATATATTCTACACTTATCTAAAAATGTTAGCATCCTTTGAGGATTCTTTTGGGAAAAAAAAAAAGCAGAACACTGCAGAGATTTTATTGGAGTAAGCAGCAACAGTTGTCTGCAGGATGTCAGTGGCATTATCTTTGAAAGACATTCTTTAATGAGTTTTTTTTTACCTTGGCTTTCTAAGAAAATTCAGAAGGCTCGCAGTCTTCTGTACTTTGCAGGTGTTCATAAGCTGCCATTGTTTCATATTTTTTGTGTAGCATAATTGAAATTATTGTAGGATATGTGCAGTGCTCCAGCTGTATTGCAGTGTCATTAATAAGTGGGTGTCATTATTAAGTGGGTGATGTTAATTTTTGTTTTTATATGGATTTGTTTGGCGTTTCTCATTTGCATTTTCTTCTCAGGATTTTCTTAAGATGGAAAAATGAATGCAAAGACCCGAGCTTCTACTTAATTATGGACTTCTTCCATGCCTTAATATATTTTTTAAGTGATTATTTTTGTGTCTAAGTTTTCTTTTATATTTTCTTGTAGCATTACTGGCTGGTGAAGTTTATTATTGATTTTGTAATTTTCATGTTGTGCAAAATTCTTGACATAACCACACTAAACTATGCTTTTTGTACCTCTTATTTTTAATCTTGTGTTCTTCTATCTGAAGGGACCACAAGTTCACCAAGAACCTAATTATAAGTGTTCTGGATTTACTTTACAAATGGTTTTTGTTGTGTTTTTGTTGTTTACAGTATGAGGTCCCATTTGGCCTGAATAGCAGTGATACATAACATAAAAAACCAAAAAAAATTAGCTGAGTAGTCAGATAAAAATGGAAGAACAGGATCCAACTACCTGCTGTGAACCTAATGATTAGTTTTTCATGTTGACAAAAATTGTCTCAGGAGATTTTTTTCCACTACAAGTGTGAATATGTTAAGACAGAAGGGCCAGAAGTAGAGCTGATGCAAGACATACAGATTTTTACTGCTAAAGCTCAGTCTTTCCACCTTGGTCAATATTTTATTGGCATTGGAAGCAATGAGAGGAGGCAGGCTGGGTTATTGAAAAATGAGTGAGGGGCTGGAGATTAAAGGTGACTAACTGTGTAGAAAAACTAAAAAGTGTTTTTATCCAATGTATGCCATTTTAAATCTCAAGTTGGTTTTCCTCCATTACCCCTATAGAGAAAAACTTAAATTTATTGGTCCTTTTTTTTTTTTAACAGATTCTACAGTGCTTCTGTAAAGCACTGCTGTAACACATATCTTATTCCTAAACATATATGAAGGGCTAAAAAAGTATTGAGGCTTAGGATTTTTTTGTGTTCTGCATAGGAATGACCAAAGTAAGGTAATGTTCTATTCTGACAAGTTGTTTTTTTGGTTTTTTTTTTAAATTTCAAATTTTATGTCATGTCAGAACCAGAATCAGCACCACATTATTCAGCATAGACATTAGCCATTTGTCTCTTTCTATGAGCTTTCCTAGGCAGAGAGAGAAAAAGCCCTTGCTCAAATTACAGTAATTTGCACTCAGATTTGAGCTCAAACCTTCAGCAAATCAGAGTTGTAAGTTCAGCAGTTATAATAAAAACTTTCAGCAATGATGTTGACATACTTTTCTTGCCCTTGAGCAGGTTTTGCAATATTAAGACCATGCTCATGGAGGGGAAAAAAAGGGGAATTGTTTTTGAAGCATATTTGAAGTATACAAGTGTTTCATTGCTATTTTGGGAATTGCCTATACCTTAGGGCTACTGCCATTTGTGCTTTTTGAAATACACACTTTTACATGCTTTTAACACATATTTTAGTCAAGGTTTTTGGAGTACATACAGTGCACAGTAAGTACAATGCCATCTGCCTGTAGAATGCATATATTCTTCTTCAAGTTGGAATCAAAGAGATAAGAGTAACAGAAGGAATGCTTTGATGTTGGATAATAACATTTTCATCAAAGATTTCTGTCTGGACAAAAGAGATGATGCAAAATAAAGGAATACCCTGAAAAGGATAAGACAAGCAGACTTTGGCAGGATAGTGTGGATGCAGTTCTTGTGAGCAGAAGCACCTGCTAATTTTGTAGAAATTAAATAATTTTTGAGACACTGATTTTGATTTTTCACTCCTATAAAGTAGGCAAGTAAAAGGAAATAATGTTGAGCTCTGTATTTATGCACTTGTTCAAGTGTTGAGCTCTGTCCCACATGTTTGAGACCAATGTTAACCTAAATAATACAATTGTTTTACACTTAATTGTTAATGAAATACCCTGCCCAGTTTCTGGGGCTGATTTCACTTACATTATTGGGTGAGGGCTTTTTTCCTGTTGCTTTAACAAAAGCAAGGTTGTGCTCCCTGCGGTACACATCATTTTTTAGGATGACAACTTGGTAGAAAAGTTGAAGCTGTTTGGAAGAAAATAAGTTGGAATGATTCTGTCTCAAGCACGTTGTTCCTGAACATGAGGTATTGGTAATATGTCTGGCTTTTTGCACATACAATGCATGTAAATCTTAAACCCAAATCCTATTCTCCCTTCATTATTCTTCAAACTAAATTTGTCTCAGTCACTTTGAACTCTTGAGTATGCACCTACATTTAAACCCTGCCCAGGCTGTTCTCCCATTTTGGGTCTGACCTTACAATCCTGTCTCAAGAAATGTTGCACCATTTGAGAGCAACCTTGTTAAGGCAGGGAAGTGCAAAGGTGTTGAAGGTAAAACTTACAAAGTATGTACCTGATTCGAGGTCTGATTGATTTTTTAAAGTGTAGTTAATGCAGCAGCAGAACCAGACCCCTAAAATAATATAGAACACTCCTACTCACCACATTTTTTTTGTTTTTTGGGATTTTTTAACTTCCTTGCTTCCTTCTCTTGAGGGCTTCCCTTCAAGAGAGACGAGCTGCATTTCAGAAAGGGTTCAGGCCTCCACTTGGGAAAGGGAGTCCCACATCAAGATCTCTGGTTTTGTGTATTTTAGATGGATCAGCCATTAGCTGAAATAAATTATTAAATTCACTGCAGTGTCTGGAAGACCTCTGCCAGCTGTGGGACCTGGACTGAAAAATGTCTCAGGCAGTGTGGTTTGTTGGTCACTTTCAGTGATATTGCTATCTCTTTACACCAGCTCTAAACTAAAATGTGTACGAAATTACTCTTATGGAAGCTTTTTCTTTTTAAAGAGAGCCTGTGCTCCTTTGGTACTCTGCCTGCTGCTGTCATGGACATGGCACGCCAGCTCTTCTGGCTGTGACAATTCTGTATTGTTTTTTGCTTTCTGTTCTGCTGCAGACAGCCTGAAGGGGACTTGTTGGCTTAATATCCGAGACAGCCGCTGTGAAGTCAACATCAATGGTGCCACGCTGAAATCTGAGTGCTGTGCTACTTTAGGAGCAGCCTGGGGCAGCCCATGTGAACGGTGTGAATTGGGTATGCTCCAGCATCCTGCACCTTTTGGCAGAAGGGAATAAGTGTCACTAGTAGATTCTTATCATCTCTGTATATTAAAAAAAAAAAAAAACAACCAAACAACAAAACATCTCCAAAAAACGAAATAAAAAAACCAACCAACAAACCAAAAAAACCACCAAACCCAACCCCTGCTCCCAAAAACCTATGAAAAGAAGTTGTCTTCTTTAGAAGTTACCTATTTTAGACTTGTAATCTGCACCATCAGGGGTCATTCTAATAACTTTGAAGCATACCAGGAAATAACATGTGAATAAACTTCTTAATGGCTACAATATGTTTCATCTCCACAAGGACTATGTATTGATTGGGATAGGGAGGTAAAGCACTGAAACAGTAAAGTGAAATATCTGGTGAAATTCATTTTTATGTTGTGGGCTGTTAACACTTTTTTCCCAGCTCTTTTCAAACATGTAGCTTGTGTACCATTATTGACTGCTGTTAGACTGCAGGACTAGTTGTGGAAGCTGGAAGCAGCAGTGCTAACTGTACTCTAGTTTATGGCAAAAATCTTGATCCCTTTATGGTTTGAAAAGTGCCACTGGCAGCTGAACTGGTGTCAAGATGTTTTAGCCTCTCATTTTTAATTGGAACAATAACTGTGGGCACATGTATCCCCCCTAACAAGCAGAGTGCAAGCAGCATCCAGCAGAGCTCTAAACTGTGCAGTGCAGCAAGGATATTCCTTTGGACTGCAGGAAGCAGCACGGTCAGGTTAGACTGGTAAAACTGATCAAAATCTAATCAATATAGAAAGATAATTAGCTCAGATTGGGTGTGTTTGGGCTCTGAATTTCCTATTCCACAGCTAGTTAAATTACAGCAAACTCTGAAATCATTATATGATGCTACATTCTACATGCATCTCTTAAAGTAATCTCATTGCTCAGATCCATTATTACGCTTTGATGGGGGAGAAAAGCTGATAATTGACATTTCTACAGTTTCAAATCTTCAGGCCTCTTGAAGGATTTTTACCTTTTATCTACATGGGAGTGCAGGGACTGATGTGATTAGATGCTGAGAATTTCACTAAGGAAAGCACATGAGAAAGTAACATTTTAAGATTAATTTCCTCAGCTGTTTACTTAGTTTAAACAGCATGTATGAGTCAATACTTTTATTGATTGACGCCTAAGCACTCCCCACTTACACAGCAAAATTATTAGCGAATTCTGAACATACATATATTTTTAAATGTTCTGCTCCTGCCTTCCTGTCCCTCTAAAGCAGTCACAATATCTTTCTGCCTTTGATTTCAGACACAGCTTGCCCAAGAGGATTTGCCAGAGTGAAGGGTGTTACCTGTGAAGGTGAAGTTTTTGTGTCTTACTAAGACGTACTTTTCCCCCTGCCTTGAAAATGTGATAAAAGAGGATTTATTGTGCCGTTTCTTTCCTGTCATTTAAAATTCTCCATGAAGCTGAAGCTCTCCCCTTGGAGCCAGCAGGTAACTGAACTCTCTGTGTCCCAAACAGACGTGAACGAGTGCGAGGTTTTCCCTGGGGTTTGTCCCAATGGGCGTTGCATCAACAGCAGAGGCTCCTTCCACTGCGAGTGTCCCGAGGGGCTGACCCTGGATGGAACAGGGCGAGTGTGTTTAGGTAAGAGCACACCCCACTCTCACAGCTGTGTCCCACAGCTGTCCAAAATCCTTCTTCAAAGGGCTGGAAGGAAAGCATGGTTTATTTCTGAATTATCCCAGATAATGCGCCTGCCTAGATATCAAATATCTGTGCCAGTAAAGCGAAGAGCTGCTAATTCCTTCGAGGAATATGAGTTTGTTTTGAGGCTTGTTTTGCCCTCAGTGCAGTCAGTAGGCTGTGCTAAAGTGCTGTCCCTGCTCTGACTCTCGTTCAGGAGCTGCAGTGTCCCGGGTGATGGATGGTGAGCACAAATATGCTGGTGCAAATTAGTCCTTTTTTTTCCAGTGCACAGGCCAGTGTGTGGTTCTTTTCCTGACATTTGAGTACACAAGTACAAGATTTTTGCCTGCACACTTGGTTAATTTGTCTTCTGGTTGACCTGCTTTGCTGCTAATGGGATGGACCTTTGAGTATAATAGCCATAATTAACTTTTCTGGAAACTTACTGTATTTTCCTTCTAACTGGTATTACAGTAAGCCTAACAACAGTCGGCTTTTTTGTTTTTAATCTGTATTCACTGCACTATTAAATTAATTCAGTAACATAAATACAGGGAGGATTTAAAAAAAATATATCTTTTTTTTACCATTTAATTTTTTTTCTTTTTTAAACACAAAAGCCACAAAAGGATAATTTTATCATAAATAAGTCAGATTACCTGGTACAATAAAAAAATAGATGTGTTTGTCCCATCAAATATAAGGGTCATTTTATAAGTGAGAATACTTGGTACAGTAAAGAAATACATGTGTTTATCTTGATACTGGGAGACAGCAGCATAAATTCTTGTACTTTTATGTGGCATGGGAAAGATGCAGAAATTTAACTACAGGGCAACACTAGCAACTTCAAATGGCTGAACATTGTGCAGAAATGCAGTCGTGAGCAGGAGTTGATTTTAATGCGTGCTTGTGTTCTGCCAATTGACAGGGGTGATTTAAAAAACACAGACACCAATGGAAAGAGTGGTTTTATTTTACTAAGAATGTAAAGGCAACACAAAAAATAATGCATCCAGTAAAACGAAATGCTTGGCTTTAGCAACAAGCAAAAGTAAGCAAGGTAATGCACCTAATTATTATTATATGAGAGAAAGGATAATGATTGAGGACAGTACACCCCCAATTGCCTAAATACGTCATCATCAGCCAGATTCTCAGTTACTGGGGAGCCTCTGTCATAATGAGAACCTGGAGAAAACTTCCCAGCAATTTGGGAATATCCTACGTGGTGTGTCCACCTGTAGCTGGGCTCTCCAAATTCACCCCGAAAGTGGGTCCAGCTTTTTTAGGCCCAAATCCCCAAGTCGAAGTGAATTGGTTGTATTTTTAGCACAGAAACTCCAGGATCTGATGGCACATGTCCCAGCCAGCAAGGGCCAGGGCTTTGCCAGGGCCCAGGGCTCAGCTTGGAGGGTTTCCTCTAAAATACCCCACAAACAGGCCTCTTCGTGAGGAAACTGATGCCTTTTCCAGGGCTGCATAAAAACAGAGGCCAGACAAAATTAAGGGGATAAAAAGCAGTTATATTTATTGAAGTGCCTTCAGGTACACTTCCTGAAGACAGACAAACCCCCCCAGCGGCTGCACCCAAAATGGATGACAGGCCACGGGTTTTTATACTTTTATAAGTTTGGTCCAGTTTCATATCAGGGGTTAATCTTTAATTACAGCTTCAGGTAATGAAGTCATTTACCGCATGTTTGCTCCCCGCAAATAAATTACTTGTGTTTACACTTCTTGGTATCTGAGACAGTGAGGTGTCCTTGATTCCCAGGCCTGGAGAGGAATTGTTGTGTCTGACCAAAAATGTATATGGAGTTTAGAGCTATACACTGCAGAATTGCAGGATTACATAAAAATACATGAGAAACACACAAAGTAAAATCCTAAGGCATCAGCGGCTGTTAGGAAATTTTCTTAAATTGATACATGCTTTGTAGATAACTACACAAGGTTGTGCAGAGCTGGCATAAGCACCTTTGAAGTCTGTTTTTAGCTAAAAATACTGGTGGTGTTAATCACAGTACCTAGGGATCATTTTGGCTAAAAAATACTGGTGGTGTTAATCACAGCACCCAGGGCTCATTTTAGTTAAATAATGCTGGTGGTGTTAATCACAGTACCCAGGGTTCATTTTAGTTAAATAATGCTGGTGGTGTTAATCACAGTACCCAGGGTTCATTTTAGTTAAATAATGCTGGTGGTGTTAATCACAGNACCCAGGGTTCATTTTAGTTAAATAATGCTGGTGGTGTTAATCACAGTACCCAGGGTTCATTTTAGTTAAATAATGCTGGTGGTGTTAATCACAGCACCCAGGGCTCATCTCATAAGCCAACTCCGGCTGAGGTCTGCTAGCCTGAGAAGCAGCGGAGTGGAAGGACAAATTATTTGTTGTTGAATGCAGATATTCGCATGGAGCCGTGCTACCTGCGGTGGGAGGAGGAGGAGTGTGTGCAGGCAGTGCCCGGCAGGCTGAGGATGGATTCCTGCTGCTGTGCCGTGGGAGCTGCCTGGGGCTCCTCCGGCTGCCAGCGCTGCCCCGCGCCCGGCTCCCAGGAACACCAGGACCTGTGCCCCAGGGGCCCCGGCTTCTCCAACCGGGGCGATGTTCTCACTGGAAGGCCGTTCTACAAAGGTGAGCCTCCCTTCTTCTGCCTGTGGGGTATGGTGGGCGAGATGGATAAAGGCATTGGTCTGAAAGAGCTGATGGCAGCGATGCCTTGGAGTGGCTGCCCGCCACTGAGGCAAGACAAGATTAAAAGAATAAAAGTGGGTGTTTATTGAACTTGTCAAAATAGTCAAAAGCCTCTGAGAGAGGCTACAGCCAAGATGGGAAACGATCATGATTCCGTTTAGGGCTGAATCCTCCAATTACAGCTTCAGGTAATTGTAATTTACTCTTAAGTTTGGCCCCCCGCAAATTTTGACAATTGTTTATGTCTCTGGGGCAGTAAGGTGTCCTTGAATTTCAGGCCCAGAGAGGAATTGTTTTGCCTGAATAAAATGGGAGAGCAGTAGTTGACAGGCTATGGGGGTTTTAGAGTTATGCACTGAAGCAGTACAGGATCTGAAAAATACAAAAGCTAAATCCTAAGGCATCAGTTCTGGTGTCTGAGGATTAACTGTGGGTGCGTCTGAGAGGGTATCCTGAGGAAATTCCTGGGTTTGAGGCTGCTTGCTGAGTGTGCCTGAGAGATGGGACATAGGTATTTGCCTGAAAGAGCTGATGGTACAGGTGGGGGGATTCTCTGTGTTCATGGGAGCTTGAGAGCAAAAGTTGCAAAGTCTGAATTGGGTAGGGAGGAGAAGGAAATTCCTGAAAGGAGAGGAGCTCTCAATTACAAGAATAGTGCAAAATATGCATGTTTTTTAAGGTAGTGCTTTGCAGGCAGTGAACTGAGCATCAGATGGTCACTGAAATCAGTTATTTCAGATGTAAATATAAAATATTACTAAAATTTGACCAGGCCTCTCTGGGAGACTGAAGAAGGATGGGTTCTTTCTCTGGTTTGCAAAATAAGTGTATGATTAAAAGGAGAGAGTGTCTGTTGTGTTATGATCATGAGGGCAGTGACAACAAGGATCTGCAGTGATAAAAGAGTGAATAAAAGTATTTTGTCCAGTTTTTGATAGCCCCACCTCCTGTAGAGCAACAGCAAAACAGAATAGGCTGGAAGATATTAAGAGACCAGACACAAGTTACTTCAGATGACTAAAATCTGAGAAGAAAAGCTGTTTTTCTTTGTCCAGAAGCTCAGGTGATCCAGAAATTTGTTAGGGTTTTTATTTTTTTTAAGGATAGATTCTGAAGCATTTGTCTTGGATTATTTTGAGCTGCTTTAGAAAGCTGTAACAGGTGAAACCTCTGCTTCACCATAATTAAGCTCTGCTTTTCAGGAGTTGCTTACTCTCAGGCAAAGCTCTTGATTTTCATTGGTGATTTACTAAAGAAATAAGGAAAATAATAACAACAACAACAGCAGCAACAATAATTTTACCAACATTTGTTTAATTTAAGAAATTAATTATTTAATAAATCTTGTCTAGACTGAGATTTTCTGAGGTTTGGCTTCCTGTTTCTGTTTTTTTTTTTATTTGGACCACTATGGTGTGCCATTCACAGAAATAAGTGGGAGAGAGATGTTTGTTTGTTTTGTTGAAGTTGATTCTCAGTTAAGGTCATCGCCTCAGCAAATTATTTCACAGAGTGCAGTTGGTAAGAAGGAACAGGAAATTCCTGTTGATTCCATATATCTCTGTGCTTAAGAATTTCTTAATTACTTTCTTTGTTTTTATTCCTAGATATCAATGAATGTAAAGTGTTCCCTGGCATGTGCATGAATGGTAAATGTAGAAACACAATTGGAAGTTTCAAATGCAGATGCAACAGTGGGTTCACTTTAGATATGGAGGAAAGAAACTGTACAGGTGAGTAAGCCTTGCATTTTCCACAGTTTTCTCTGGAATAATGGAGTAGTCCTGGTTGAAAAAGACCTGAGAAGACCAAATTGTTCCTTCAAGGTGTTGTGGAGAAAGGGAGCCCAGATGAAATTATCTAGCACCCTGGCAGTCTTGGAAACATCCAGTGATGGGGACGGCACCACATCTGTGGAGCTTTTTAAAGAAGCTTGCTCTTGTGGCATAGCTTGGTGATCTGGAAATCTAATGCCATTAGTTTCCTTCACTTTCTAAGAGCTTAATCTTTGGACAAAATGGCCAACAGTTTCAAGTTTCCCTTTCAGAAACGGATTATTTAATAAATACAACATTTTTGATTTTTGTAATTGTTGTTTAAGGTGCTTAGGTCATGCTGTATCAGTACAACCTGAAAAACCAATAAGGATCACCAGCAAAGCCAAGTTTAATGTTCTAACACAGAGATTATCTTATGTTCCTTATTCTCTGGTCATTATATTACCAAATTAATTTAGAAACTGCAAGTTAATTTTCATTTAGATTTGATGGCTGAGAACACACAAGAGCACCTCAGCAATTCTGACACCAGTGCAACGTTAACTCAGGAAGAGACAGACACGTGTGTTTAATTTACAAGTTTAGGATCTTGCTCTTTACTGTCTGGAAAATCTGAAGATAAGCATGACAGTTCTGTGGCTGTGGGAATTTGGATGCCTGCGTTGTGGGTGGCTGGCTCTGTGCTGAAAATGAAGGAGGTTTTGTTACAGGCGTCCATGAGTGTGTCTGAGTAATAACTGTGAAGTGTGGGTGGTAAGGCATGTTCACTGAGGTTGGTCTGGATGCTAACGTTGCCCTAACTGGTGATTTCCTTGTTTTTACAGTGATTGCATTGATGAAGAATGCATTTTATAAACTTTATTCCTAAACTAACCAGAATAGGTCAGAAAACTCCCTGCAAAAGCTTTATTTTTTTTATTCCCCTTCTGTTCTGTGGTGGTGGAATTACACCACTGAGCAGCTGTGGAGAAACAGGTTTTCTGAAATAGGTGACTTTTTTGCTTGTTTTATATCAGCAAGAAGTTGTTTTATAAAGTTTGCAGGAGCCCAGATTCTCAAGTAATGTGCCAGATCTGCCACGTGGGTCTGACACCTGCACACATCTGTGAGGACTGGCTGTCCTCACCCAGCAGAAACCTGTCCATGGGCAGTGACACAAAGGCCTCTCCTGCCACACTAACTTGTTTCACTGGATCATATCCACATTAAAATTCCTCCTTAGGTTTCTGACTCACTACCAGTGTGAGTTAAAAAGAGCTCTTCTGTCTTTTCTGCTATAGGTTTCCGCAGTGGGTTTAATTCAAACTTAACTAACAAGACAACCAGTGAACTGTAAATCTAGCTTTGATAGGAGCTGATTCCTAATAGGGAGGGTGTGTATAAACTTCTAATGCTATTACTGGATAAATATGTTCATAATAATCAAATTATAATCAATGGCATTGTAGTAATGGATTCAGTTGATACCTCTGTAGAAGTGATGTCTTGGAATGTCTTACACCTAGTTATTTCCTTAAGAATTTACCCTTAAATTATACTTAATAGAAGCAAACTTGATACGTAGTTTACTATGGCCTGAGAGCTCTGAATACTCAGCCTTACAAATCTTCCATGAGCTGTTTCACTTAATCAGATCATTCTATACGTAATTATTTTTTTCTCTGTTGATTTGCATACTGTATATGGTTTCTGTAGACTTAATTGACAGTGACATTTTTTTTCTGTAAAAGCGTGATAACCTTAAACCCAGTTTTATTTTTCTACATCTCCACTGCTATGAAACAGACATTGATGAGTGCAGGATCTCCCCAGACTTGTGTGGAAGTGGCACTTGTGTCAACACTCCTGGCAGCTTTGAGTGTGAGTGCTTTGATGGTTATGAAAGTGGATTTATGATGATGAAGAACTGCATGGGTAAGTGTTGCCAGGATGCCCTGGAGTCTCCTCTGCTGTGCAAAGCCTGGCTGTTCTCTGAGCTGCCACACTGAACCCTTCAGATGTGTCATTATTGTGACTTCATGAGCAAATGGGTCAGATATGCAGTTTATAGAGACAGATAAGTGAATTAAGTATACACCCTTGCTTGTTCTTTCTACTAATTACTTACATTCTTAAGAGACGCTTACTCTGTACAGGTGTTTTAGGATGGCAGCAACTCTTGACCCAATTAATTTAAAAATTGCTAATGGAGCATGCAAATACTTGGTAAAGCTAGGAATAGAAACCTGGTGTTTCAAAAGTGGTGTCAGTCCCTTTTTACTGCTTCTTCTAGGACTCAAGAACTTCTCACAGCATTTCCTGAAAAAAAAATACAGCTCTTCAATCTGTTTAAAGTTGTAAGAGTAGGTCTGGAGACACCAAAAGGTGTTTAACTACCTTGACTTGGGCTTCTGTCACCTTTTCTTGTTTTCCTGCAAATTCTGATGCTTGTAGACTTTTCTGGGAGCACAGGAATGCCTTTATGAGTTGTAGCCCGAATATTTCCCAGCCACACCATGGCACAGACAGGAGTTACCAAACTGAGGAGCCATTTGGGCAAAAATTGATACACAAACATCCACCATAACTGCATCCACAGACAGGAATTTCAGTGCATACATGAACAGGTGTCTTACTGCCTTAAGCAATTTAAAAATATATACACATCACATTAATACATTGTTCTAAAGAACAATATCCAAAAATTTTCTGCCTTTGCTTGTGTTCCGTGTTTTCTTGAATATCTAATGTTAAATGATGAATTTCTGGTTTTCCTTGAGAGAAAAAAAATACCCATCTTTAGAGTTCATAATGATATATATTTTTTGGTTTGCTCTGTTGTGCAGCATGAGAAGAGGAGCAACACCATGAAACGATTTATTTTGTAGACACTGGGAATTGCTTTTCTCTTTGTTGCCTCTTAAATATTTTTGCACGTGATGGTTTCTTTGCAGATATAGATGAGTGTGAACGCAACCCTCTGCTGTGCAGAGGTGGCACCTGTGTGAACACTGAGGGCAGCTTTCACTGTGACTGTCCCCTGGGGCATGAGCTGTCACCATCCCAGGAGGAATGCTTGGGTGAGTTTCAACTCAGGAAAATAATCTTTAGTTTGAGGAATGGTCAGTCCTTGGCAAAAGTGGGGTCTCAGAAATCTCTTAAACAAACTGATGTTCCTCCTTTATGTTGTAACTTCAAATAAAAAACTAAAAGCCTGTAAAATCCCCAGTGCCAGTTGACTACAAAGAGGAGTGTTTTACCAGGTCTCTTAGGAATTATTTAGCAAACTCAAAACTCATTGGAGCAACTTTAATCAGTCACAAAATGGTGTTGTCATGTGTAAAAATGCACCTCTCCTTTTAGCACATAACTCACATAACTGATGAATTAAAAAAAAAGAAGAAAAATAGGCAAAAAAGAAGCATATTATCTCTTTGGCTTATTTTCTTGGTAATTAATGCCCTTACAGCAGACTCTGTAATTAATGCTCTCAGACCTGACTCAGAGAAGATAAATCTTTGGACACTAGCTCAAACACAGCGTGCAGAACTTTATTCCTCAAACTGGAACATGCCAAGAACAAAAAAGAAATTGAATAAACCTGACAGCCACTGGTTTGAAATATTACCTCTCATTCTTCCTGGAACCTGAGCTGTTAAAGCTGGCAAATATCCTGAATTGCAGCTGATCTGAACAAATTCTTCCCCAGATGTAAACGAGTGCTCGTTGAGCGACAGCCTCTGCAGGAATGGGAGGTGTGTGAACATGGTTGGGACCTACCAGTGCTTCTGTGACTCTGGGTACCAGCCCACTCCCGACAGACAGGCATGCACAGGCAAGTGTTGTGCACCCACACGTGGCATTTCGTGCTTCAGCTGCATTGTTCCGTCTGTCCCTGCTTTTATTTAACTTCACACCTTCCCTTTGGAAATCAGCAGGGCTTCTTCTTGTGTGCTTTGAGGCCTACCATGAGCTATTGTGGGAATACAGAAATATAAAGGAATAGAAAGAAGGTATAAAAAGGTGGTTGCTGCAGTGAGCTCCACAGAATATTTTGAAACTATACTTACTGTCCTACTCTATTAAAATCAAAGGTTTGAGGTGACAGCCAGAAGATACACTTAGATTTCTTGATCAGGCAAGAAAAGCTCCATTAATTGATGGTTTATCTTTCAGTTTTTTCTCCTTATCATACCATCTCTTTAATCCTTCACTATAATAATACTGAATTATATATTTACCAACACATCAATTCCTTGTAAAGGAGAACAGCAGTGCAGATAGGGCTTTCTATTTGCTTATTATGGGGATTTTTTTTGCAAAATTGTGAATTTGTGCTACATTTCAAGCTTTAAGTTTCTCTGGGTTTCCCTTTTTTTCCCCTTTCCAAACTTTGTTTCTTGAGCTTTTTTTCACACCCCTAGCAATACACAGGAGCAAAACCAATATTTAACTTACCAGCTTGCTCCCACTGATGAAAAAAGCAGTTGAAAGAGGGGAAGATAAAAAAAATATAAATCAGAGACAGTAGAATGAGACTAAAAATTCAGAATGAAGACACTGATATACTTCTTTATGTAAGATGTGAAGGGAATATTATTTTTTCCTTAAAGAAGTAGACTTACTGCTATCAACGTTGCTTCTCCAGATATTGATGAGTGTATGATAATGAATGGAGGCTGTGACACCCACTGCACTAACTCAGAAGGCAGCTATGAGTGCAGCTGCAGTGATGGCTATGCTCTGATGCCAGATGTCAGGACATGTGCAGGTAGGTTTTTCCACTGGAAAAACTCCCTCATTATCTTTCAGCCAAAATCAAAGTAGTGTTCCAGCCCATCCATGCCAGAGTGACATAATTATTATCTGCTTTGTTTTGTTTTGTTTTGTTTTGTTTTTTCCCTCAGATATTGATGAATGTGAAAACAATCCAGATATCTGTGATGGTGGGCAATGTAGCAATATCCCAGGGGAATATCGCTGTCTCTGTTATGATGGATTTATGGTTTCTATAGACATGAAAAGTTGTGTTGGTAAGTAGGTGTGTGCACAAAATTTAGTGTAAGTCTTGAAAATTCTTCAGGTTTTGTTTCGGGATGTTCTTTCTACTGCGTCATTGAAAGTGGGTATTGAAATTACATATATTATTGAAAAAAAATCTATATGCCTTTTGGTAACTCCTTAACAATGAAACAGATCCCATAGTTAAAAAACATTGGTATGACTTTACTATAATGGAATATGTGTATTGAGAAGGGATCAGATGAGGAGTTCAGAAGGGGGACTTCAAAAATTTTTCTTTGCAAGAAAATTACTATGATCACAAATATGTTTTAAGAAAATGATTTTAAGTGAGTCTTGTAAGAAAAAGTTTGTTTCATATTCCTTTAATTAGCATTCCAAAAAAAGGTGAAAACAAATGGTATTTGTTTTACCACAGTAGTATTTCGACTACACATTTAGCCTTACTTGTTTTAGGGAATTTACGGAGTAGAACATCTGAAATGCATTACAACTTCATATAGTAGGAATTTTCACCTGAAATAAAGTGTTCCAAAATGACAGTAATGTCCAACTAATAATTAATTTATAATCACCTACAGATGTGAATGAATGTGATTTGAATTCTAACATCTGCATGTTTGGGGAGTGTGAAAACACCAAAGGCTCCTTCATTTGTCACTGTCAAGCTGGGTATTCAGTCAAGAAAGGAACCACAGGGTGCACAGGTAAAACAGATTTCCAGTGAATGTGTCACATATTTTGGTTGGCTTCCAGGTAAAATAAATGCACAAGTGTTACACACAAGAGAGAGTTGGTATCTGTGTATGTATATGTATATATATATATATGTGTGTGTGTTTGTGTGTGTGTGTTTCACATCTGCTAGCATGTGCCAAAGTTTTAAAGGGAGTATCAATGCTGGAGGCCCCTTACAAACTAATTTAAAAGATGTTGGCAGCACAGGTTGTGCGAACACCCGTGTTACAGAACTTGGCTTGGGGTGGCAAGGCTGCAGTTATGTTGGAAGTTTTTTTATCAGTGCTCTTTTTCACATGGACCTGGAGGATGAACTCAGCTCAAGCTGCAGGAAATGGCCATGTGGTCCAAGGAAAGAACAAAAGGGGGAAAAAAAAAACAGTAAAAAAATCCTTCAACCTTTGCCAACAATTTTTACAGTTCTGTTGTCACTCATAATCACTCTACAAGTTCTGTGATATTTAAGCTGTATCTTTTCTCCTGCATGCTCTCAAGAATCCAGGCTCATCCAGGAGAAGCTGATAGAATTCCTCCTGCAATTTTGTGTTTAGGAATCTGTTCTGTAACTGCTATGGCCATGGGTGCATAATTATTTCTATGACTGAAAAGTCTCTGTGCACCCAAAGAACTCATCCCAGTTTTAAACATAAAAAATCAGCCTATTTAATATTTCTGGAAAAGAGTATTAATTTAATGCTGGAAAGCACTTGTAGGAAAGTGGATTGATTGTCATGTTTCCAAACAGAGAGCAAAAATAAAATGCAATTGTAATCCTTTGTACTAATACAGAATACCAAATAGCTTGCTCGAATTATTCTAAGTTCTTAAACATTTGTTTTTTAAAGGGCTGCAAACCCTCACAGTGGAAATACGTAAAATAAACAGGATTTTTAATATTCTGATGTAAATACTGATAGTTTGTTTTGTGCTTGTAGATGTGAATGAGTGTGAAATTGGAGCTCACAACTGTGACATGCATGCCTCTTGTGTCAACGTGCCAGGAAGTTTTAAATGCAGCTGCAGAGAAGGTTGGGTTGGAAATGGCATTAAGTGTATTGGTAAGTACATGGAAAACAAAGAGTTTTTTCTCTCTCTCCCCACTCTTTTTTTTTTTTTTTTGAAAGCATGTAATGTGACTGTGTGATTAGTCCCTTAGAAACAAAGAATTATTCTTCTGTCTGCTGTATCATGTGGATAGACATGTATGAAAGATTCTTATGTTTAACAGATTTGGTTTTCTAAGAAAAAAAATTTTACTGTCTCAGAAACATAATGTTGTAACATCTTACTGAATTAACTACGTATTTTACAAAGTTTATATACAAGTCCTACTAGAATGTGCAAAATAAAAAAAACCCCATAAATTAAATAAATTTCATTTTATTGTTTTCTGTCAGTAAGGTATTTCCAGTCCTTCAAACATTTTTTGGTAAATGTCTTATAATTTATCTGATTTATAAACCCTGATACAAACCAGATTGGGACTGGAGGGGTGGGAAACCTGTATCTTCATTTGCTGGACTGCTGTAGTTGTGTATGTTCCTTTGCCTTCATGTTTCAGTTTGGTTTGTAAGAGATTGTAATATTTGCTTTTTGTTTTCAGAACATTTTGGGCTCTATGGAATATTAGGCTTTATTGATGTAATGTGCTAAAAAAGTGACCGTCTTGTTTCTTCTTCTTTTCTTCTTCTTTTCTTTCATACATATTAACATCCAAGTGAATAGCTTGTCTCAACTCTCATGCAGTGCATTGTTTTCACTTTCTTCTATTACTTGAGGAGACTTCCTAAATAAGTGGCAGATTTTTACCTTGCCACATTTCTTTGGCTCAGTTTCTTTTTTTTAGAACTTATTTTGAATTTAAGCTCATTAACAGGACATTAACATCCAAGTAATGAGCCAGCTGAATTCCATCAACTGCTCAGAAATATTTTGCCCAGTCCCATCTGTTGTAATTTAAAGGAAGACGTTTTAAAATGAAGTCACTATAGATTAACCCTGTATCATCTAATAGTAAATGTGTGTATTTATGGAGACATAAATCATGCTTGCAGTGGTGCTGGCTATCTCGGCAGTTAATTACCAGCCAGTTTACTAATTACCAAGCTGCTGCCTACACTTTTTGACCCCAATGTGCAGATCTTGATGAATGCTCCAACGGGACCCAGCGGTGCAGCGCCAATGCCCAGTGTGTGAACAGCCTGGGCTCCTACCACTGTGCCTGTGCAGAGGGATTCACTGGAGATGGCTTTACGTGCTCTGGTAAGGGGATTTTGTGACACCTGACTTGTTCCTGGGGGTTCTTCTCTTGTATGGAACCTCTGGGAATCAGACTTAATCCCACAGTGTAAGACGATGAATGTGAAAATGTAATTTAAGATCAAGGTGCTCCCTGTCAGAGGCACCTGATTGTTCTTTTGATTCATGTCCCAGCTGGACCCACTGGGTCCATTTTTTGGGGGGAAGGTCCTGTCTGCTGCTTCTTCCTCCCCCTCATCTTCATGTCAATTGTTTTGAACATGCATGTCCTGCTTGCAGCAGTGCCTCTGCTCAAGAACACCAAATGCCAGCTCAATTACAGTTCCTCTCTCTGGCATCATCTATTGTCCCAGCACCCAGTAGAACAGGATGTGATCATTAACACAGGACTTCTTAAAAAGAAAAACAAGCTGCAGTTAAAAAACATTGCCTGTGTCTCTGTATTTAAATTTGTAGGTGAGAACGGACGCTGTTATTCACACAGGAAGTGACTCAAAATAAATTGGCACATATTGTATCAAGTATAAAGATCTTATATTGGATGTTAATCTTGTCTTGGATTATTCTGATCTTTATCATGTACAGAGTGGAGATGCAACATTATCTCTGCTCTCACCTTTTAACACATCCTGTATTTGGTCAGCCTATTTAGGTCTGAGAATGTATCCTAATCATAGTGAAATATCTAGAAAACTACTGTGAGTGCACTTATTATTGACTAACTGGCTAATTACAAATAGAAATTAATTTAAAGCTTGGAAACAGGGTTTTCTGATTAATAGTGTAAGGTATTTTACTTGAGAATAAAGACCTTCAAATATGACTTGGTTTTTGTATTTCAAGTTTTTGGTTCATGAGCACAATGTTTTATCCTTATATTGAGCTTCTGTGTTTCTCTAAAAATCTGATATAATACTAATTATGGACTAATAAAATGAAGAAAGCATATAATATTTTTTTTGGACAATTATAAGAATACCTGAAAAAATCACAATTTCTTATGATGACTGCAATGGTGAATGCCCTCCCTTGCCATTCTCTTTCTTTATAGTTCTTTTGGGGCATAGTAGAAGAGTTCCTGGTGTGCAACTTGTCATGTTCCCCAGCCTCAAATAATATTTTTTAAAATGAATATGGTAATAATTTTCTATGTGTGATTTAGGAAAATTTGCCTTTTGGACATTTTTTTCTGTCAGAATAGCATAGAAATATATACCAAGAGGCAAAATTTTGAGCAAGACTTTGTTTAAGCAAAACTTTTTAAGCAAGGTATTTAACTTATTTGTCAAGATTAGTCAAGACTGGATCTGAAAAGCTTGCATTATCCAAAAAATTTTCATCTGTTGATGAAAAACAAGGAAGGAATGATGAATGTTGATGAAAATGTGGAAGGAATAATTTTGGAAACTGTGTTTGCTTTTCTGCATTATTTCAATTTACTTCAATAAGTGTTCTGTTTTATACTTTCAGTGCTCAACAGCGCTATTATTTTGGACAGCAGGCTATTTTTACGTGTATTTCTGCTGGTGAGATGCACGTAAATTTCTAGATTTCTGTATTTCTCTGTAGTTTCAGAGGGGCTTTCCTGTCTTCCACAGATGTTGATGAGTGTGCAGAGAATGTCAACCTGTGTGAAAACGGGCAGTGCCTGAACGCCCCCGGCACCTTCCGCTGCGAGTGTGAGATGGGGTTCACTCCTGCCTCCGACAGCAAGTCCTGCCAAGGTGAGCTGCTGCTGCTGCTGCCCCAGCTCTGCTCTCCGATTTTGGGTGGCTCTTTCACATACCAGAAGTTTCTTCAGCACGAATTATGTTGGGAGGTTGCTTTTGTCTTTTTTTTGTGATGTTTTCATGGCCTTCACCCATAAATCCCAGAGCAGATGTTTGCCTCAGAAATTTTGGAATTTTATTTTTTTAATTCCTTTTTTTCACTATTGGATAGTGTGTGGAAAATCCTGTGTTATCTTTCTCGTCCAGTTCAGCTTCTATTCCCTTTCTTGTTCTTTTACCTTTTGTTGTGGTTTAAGTATAGTAAATGACTGTAGATGACTGTATAGTAGAAGAAGTTTTACACACTTTTAGCTGGTGCCCCAAAGCTTTTATCTTATTTCATATTAGATGGTGAAAATCACATAGCATCTTTGGAAATTCAAATTCTTAGTGAGATAGGAAAAATAGGTTTCAAAATTTAATCTTTAAGATTCAGTCCAGAGTGTGGCATGTTCCAAAGTTCAGGTGTACATGTATGAATCAGACTTCAGAATAATTCAGGTGTTTCTGAAGAATTACCTGTGCCAGTGCATAATCAGATGTGTTAATTATCAAGTCCTATCCATCATCTTTATTGAATTTATTGGTGCAGCTCAGTCATATTACAGTGGTACCAGTGGTCTAATAAAAATCCCCTAATAGATCCAAATCTACTCCAGCCAACCAATGTTTTGAAAAACAATGTAATTCTAAATTTTGGGTCATTGTGTTGAAGGATTTGGGTCCAACAATTGAAGGATTTTGGAGAAATGCTTGATATGTTACTGTAATTATAACAGAGTTCTGAAAGCATTGCATTGGTTAAATTGTGCTCTTGGATAGCTAAAATATCTGGGTGCTGAATTCTTAAGAGAAGTTAGCTTTAATTTCTCTCATTTTTAAGTTAATACTTTAATCCCTCCTATGGTAGGAAATGTCCTTGGCTGATTTCTACAGTCAAGGGGAAAAAACCCGTCTTCATTTAGTGAAATGAATGTAATAAAAGTTATTAATCCACTTTCTTCAGAAGTCCCATGAGATGTCAGTACATTAACTTCTTAGTTACCTGATTTGGAGGTCATTCCATGGCTGTACTCCAGGGTATTTAGAAATTTTATTTTCCAGATGAAATTGATTCAGGACTTCTGGATGTTAAGCATTCATTTTCCCTAAAAACATGTCTCTGAAATGGCCCTCAGAAGTTAACCTTTCTCATATGTTACTATAAAGAGGCATTTTATCACTTCTCAGCCTCTGGCTGAGGTAATCCCACCAGGTTAAATGTAGATATTTTATTACTGTAATAATTCTAATAGTCCTTTTGCACATCTTGTGCAATATTAGTTCATCAACAGAGCACTGTACTCAGAATTTCAAATTAGGATTTGACTGTGCTTTGTAAAATGATATTAATGCTTTCCACTTCCATGTGTGCGCTAAAAATAATTCACTAATACATGCCAGAATTGCATTTGCCTTATTCTGGCAGCCTAAAAAGTCCTGCTGTCTGACAGTACATGGAGGGTTTTTTTCCACTCCTATCCTACTTACTTTCAGCTCAGAAGTATTTTACAGTTTGTGCCTAAAGCCATGGCTTTGCAGTCTGTGGTGTCAGTGTTCATCTTCTTTCTACACTGCAGCTGACAAAACCATCCAAATTTCTGTCAGTGTCTTTCAACTTGATTTCATCTTCAATTTAGATGAGCATGCAGGCAGTCCTTCAGATGCATTTTAGCTCATCTGTGTGTAGTTAACTACATAACTATTTCAATGTGGGCTTGAGAAAATCACAGATAATTCTTACTTCCTGTATTCCTATTTTCCCTGTATTCTTCCCCCAAGGAAATATGACTGTTGATGCCGACACACTCTCTTCCTTCTTAAAACACTTTCTTTACAAACACAAATTCACAGAAACAAATTTTGTGTAGTGTTCTACACAAACTCAAAAATGTTAATTTTTAACATATTTTGCATATGTCTGCTTTTGCTTTTATAGTGCTATGACACATAATAGCAACAGCAGTAATAATAACAATAATGTGGTACTACTGTGTAACTTTCTGGTTTTAATGCATTCCTTCAGACACGGATGAATGCTCCTTCCAGAATATTTGTCTGTTTGGCACCTGCAATAATCTCCCAGGAATGTTTCGTTGCATCTGTGATGATGGCTATGAACTCGATCGAACTGGGGGAAATTGCACAGGTAAATCACTGCTTTTCAGAAATACATCAGCAAAAAGGGTGGCTTCTTATATATGCAGATGAACAAGGATTTTTTTACTCCTTTGGTGTAAAGGACTAAATTATTTTTAAGATTCTGCTAAAATTCACTTGCATTTGAAACTTTCTAAGATGTTTTAGAGAGTAAGATTATTCCTTTCTGTCCAATGAGCAGATTTATGAATGTGGATTTCCTGTTTTAGATATTGACGAATGTGCTGATCCCATTAATTGTGTTAATGGTCTTTGTGTAAACACTCCTGGAAGATATGAGTGCAATTGTCCTCCAGACTTCCAGCTGAATCCTACTGGAGTGGGTTGTGTGGGTAAGTAAAAGCTTCCTGAAATATCACTTTAAAAAATCACTGCTTTTATGCAAATAAGATAGAAAAATATCGATTCCACAATTCTGCATATCCTGTTGTTTAGCTTTTTTAGTGCTGTCTCTCTTGACATCAATAACTATCAATGTTCTTGAAGTGCCAATGACTTCAAGAGCACAACATTACCTGAATTCCTCCTTCTAGGTATGAAATTGGAGATGAATGCCTGAAGTTGTGGTGTGCAGCTGTAACCACGTGTGCTTTTTACGTAGATAACCGTGTGGGCAGCTGCTACCTGAAGTTTGGACCAAGAGGGGACGGGGGCCTGTCCTGCAACACTGAGATTGGGGTTGGGGTCACTCGTTCCTCGTGCTGCTGCTCGCTGGGAAAGGCTTGGGGGAACCCCTGTGAGACCTGTCCCCCTGTCAACAGCAGTAAGGAAATGTTCTCGTGTTCTCCTGCCTTATTTTAGAAGGGATGGAAAAGGAATTTGCAGTCTTTCACTGTGTTGCTGTACATTGGTCAAATTTCCCTGCCAGTGTCAGAGGGGACTTTTAATCTGTGGCTGGCTTGGTGTCTGTTCTCACACCAATAAATCAATGCTGCCTCTACAAGGTGCATCCCACCAGACCAGGTGATACTTTAGGTAGTTTTGAGCATTTTATTTTGCTCTTTTCTCCCATTAAAAAAAAAAAAAATTAATAACTTCGCAGGTAAGAATGCAATAGAGTGCATACATTTGCTGGGCATTTTTGTTCAGCAGCTCCAAACTGGTAACAAAATTAACTAATTATGTTTAGAACCCAAAGCATGGCTTTAATTTGGAGGAATTCATTATTCTCCAAGGAAGAGTGTTGATAACTGTTGCTACTTATGTCTAAGTCAGTCTTGAGTACTTTCAAACAATTACCTAATGATAGTTGTCAGCTTTGTAGAGCTTTGAAGGTCTTTAATGAATCATGCAACACAAATGTCAAGTATGTTGTTCTTTACAGCCTCAGTAGGAATTCCAAGCTTGACACCTTTAGCAGTGGCATACTGGCATTTCATATTAAAGAACTAATCAAAGCATAAAATATGTGCCTCTGTAAGGACACAGTATGGAAAAATCAATATTGTGCCTGCCTTAAGAGTATCTGAGGTTATGGTAATAAAAGAAAACAGAACTCCTCATCTTACATTGGTTTTCTGTTAATCTAATGCACATGTTTTATTTACTGTGAATAGGTCAAAAAAGTAGAAACCAAATGACTGTAGGGAAGACCAGCCATTAAAATCACAAGTAACATTTTATGATTCTGTTGTCATAATTTTATTTTTTATGAGACTGACATTCTCTTGTTATATTTTACTTTAGCTGAATACAATACTCTGTGTCCAGGGGGAGAAGGATTCAGACCAAATCCCATCACTATTATTTTAGAAGGTGAGTTTCTTATAAATTACCGTGATGATTGATATTGATGATAATAATTATTATTAAAAATGAGTCATCTTTGAGGAGGAACTGCATTTTTCAGAAATCATTATATTTAGTGCAAAGATAAAACAGCTGTTAATGTGAATTGGGACACAACATGAAAAGGCACACAGCAAAAGAATATTGAAGAAGTCCAACACCATTTCAGTAGGAAAACAATTCTGGTCCATACCTTTTATGTGCCTCCTTACTTTAACTGGATTTCAAAATTGGGCCCTGAAGGATAAGTCATTTATGAAAATTACAGCTCATCAGCAGAAAGGGCAAATGTCAGGAAGTATTCATCAGGCAAAGCAGCTCTGGTTCCAATAAATGGGCAGAAGTGAGGAATTAGATGCCAAATTCCTGTAAACAGCAATGGAACATTGGGCTTAACAAGTTGAAACTGCTCCTTAAGGGCTGTTTGAATGGAAGAGAATGAGCATCTCATCCATGCATTCCTGGAGAGCAATTTAGAAGCCAAAAAAAAAAACAAAACCCCAAAAACCCACACATGACAGTTCAAAGCTACTAGTTGGCAAAATTTCAGGGTAGTGCTTAAATCTTCTTTGTTTTCATTGCGGAATGAAAATTTGGTGAGTTTGTTTTTTTTTTTCCCTCTCTCTTTTCAGACATTGATGAATGTCAGGAGCTGCCAGGTCTCTGCCAAGGGGGAAATTGCATCAATACTTTTGGCAGCTTCCAGTGTGAATGCCCAAAAGGTTACTACCTCAGTGAAGAGACAAGAATCTGTGAAGGTTGAGTATTTTGAAGCCTCTTTCTCTGTCAAAGTGCAGTTAGTATGAAGACCACTACTTTTTAGCCTTAAATCCTACCACCCTTACCTAGAGTCTTCCCTGAAATCATTATCTTTGGCACCAGTGATGCAAATTAGCACAAAGCTTGAAATGGAACACTTGGATATATTCATTTTTATTTTAGATGTTAGACTTCAGCCATGTGTATTCAGCAAACTAAGGGGTTATTAATGATTTCTGGCTTCTCACCCTGCAAGTTTTATGATGCTCTCTGCATTTTGGGTGTGAGAGTAGCAGTTTAATGTACGCAATATGAAGTAAAGTTCATACTGGTTTTCCTTCTGTGTTTGAGATTTTTCATAACTGTTACAACCAAAATTGTAAATTGACCCTAAAACTAAAAACAGACTAACCCTGCTGTGAGAAGAAGATGTAAATGTCTTCTGTGAAGTTGATTTGCTCCTATTTCAATGGCAATTTCAAGAACTTTTTAGTTTATTTGGTGTGTTGTTTTCACTTAAGAGAATCAAGGCTAAACTTAGAGGTTAAAATCAGAGCTGTATTTTCCAAGCTATTCTTTAAATGAAGCACTTTTGTTATCTTAGCTTGGTTTATTATGTTTGTATTTCTCAGAAATACTTGCTTGGACTTGGACCTCCCTTATTAACTGCGATGTATTTTCTTGGTTTATAGATATTGATGAGTGTGTTGCACACCCTGGTGTCTGTGGTCCTGGCACCTGCTACAACACCTTGGGGAACTACACCTGCATTTGTCCACCTGAATATATGCAGGTGAACGGAGGACACAACTGCATGGGTATGAAAAATGTCATCTTAACCAGAACTGCAAGATTGTCAGACTGTTTGAGGGCCAGACCCTGTGCTTTGTGTTTATTTTGACTATTTTTAGCTGCTATTTGGTGTCATGTTGTCAGGAAAGAGATCCCTGTGATTGGCATGCTGCTCTTACTCCCTAACACAGCTCACTGTTCACTGGTTTATTTTAGCTGATCATTTCCACATGGTGGGGTTTACCATACAAATGGATCTCATGGGTATCTACACTGTATTTATGATTTCTTAGGGGTTTGCCTTTTCCCCCCCTTAAATGAAAACAGAAAATACATCACACAAGTCTAAAACAAAAACTGCAGATTACATCAATCCTTAAATTATTTTTAAATGCCCGTGTTTATGTTGCATTTAGAAAACAGAGTTAATGAATCTTGTCTGGTTTGGTAGGGGGTTGATATTTACATAATATTGTAGTTATCATAATGTTGGTTACTTCATCAGTGCTTCTTTTCTCACATCCAGACATGAGGAAAAGCTTTTGCTACAGAAGCTATAATGGAACTTCCTGTGAGAATGAACTGCCCTTCAATGTGACCAAAAGGATGTGCTGCTGCACATACAATATTGGGAAAGCCTGGAACAAACCCTGTGAGCCGTGTCCAACTCCAGGAACAGGTAAAGCCTTCTGTGGTCACCCCATTTTGTTACTTTCTTTGCTTATCTGCTGCTTTGACCTATTAACTAAAGCTAACATTTCATGCCAAAAGAACTTTCACTGAGCAGTAATACTGGTGGTGAAGATACTGGCTGGCTCAAGATACCTCCTGTCTAGTCTGTTCTCCAGGCTAATTAATTTACAAGAGTGTAATTTAGTTCTTGATAGTTGGAAAACCATTTATCCTGGTAGTCCTAGTCTGTCAGAACATCAAGATTGGGTTTTGTTCTGAGTGTAGGAAGCCTTTCCAGATTTTTCATCTGTATCTCACATTTGATCCATGATCTGCTTGGTTGCTTTTACATTTCCTCTACTGAAGGTGACTGAACTTGCAAAAGTTGCCCAATAAGTATGGCATGGCAATGGGAAGTAAAAAATTCTCTTCTGTAAATGGAGATGAAAATAATAAAGGACAGATCATTTTCAGTCAGTCTTTATGGAGCTGATTTCCTGGAATAAGTCATCCCTGAAAGCTCAACTCAGAAAAGTCATGAGTGGGAGAATCACCAGCTTGGAGGGAAACCTGACATCCACTGAAAAATTCTTTACATTTGAAAAAAGAGAAAACATGCTTAGATAAAACTAAAAAACTCATGTGCCTGTTTTGTACAAACACAGTTTGTTGTTTAATGTACTTGCCCCAAGTTCACTGGTTTAGTAGCACTTAACCTATGCCTCTGGTGCTGTGATTTAAATATCATTTATGGTTTTAGTGTAAAGAATGTATTACTCCCATTCCAAGTGGTTTATCTTGGTAATTTGAGGTAAAAAACAGATAATTTTTAGAAATATTTTCTCTCACAGTAAAGAGGAGGAAAGTGGGATGAAAAGAAGAGAAAACTGCCTTTTTCTTTTCCTTCTTAAATAGGAGGAGGGAAAATGAAGGAATGCTCCTAGCAGTCAGGAATGGGAAATGGAAATAAGCTTGAGAGAGGAAATACATGATTGCTACCACAGAAAACTCATGAAATTCTTTCCCATCGTCATTTATCTAAATGTCATAAAATTGTCACCATGGTGACAACATTATAAGAAGAGTCCAGCAAACTGCTAGCAGAGTTTCATGCAATTAATGTTCTTTGGTAAAAGAAAGAAATCTCCTTTTAGATTGGTGACACTCAGATTCTCAAAAACTCCTGCATCTTTTAATGATTTGTTAAAACCAAAATTGCATGGTATTGTGCAAGCAATTACAGGGTTTAAATATTTCCTGAAATATTTCAGTGTTGCCTAACAGATATTTCAAGTGTTGCCTTGTTAGCTTTTCTAAATGACTTGACTGTTTTTGCAGGCATGGCTGAACCTTTTTCACCATGAAAAGGGATTGTGTGTGGGGGATCAAACACAACTTCCAAGTGGAAATGGTTGAATAGATGCACTTATGTTCTATAATCAGTTGTTTTGCAATCTGGGGGAGGGCTGCACATCACAGACAGGGGTTGGGGTACACTGACCTTACCCACATCACCAGAGTGAGCTCAGTGGCTCATTAAGAGCATTATTCTGCCCTGATGAGGATTCTAAGTGAACTTCACACACCCATGCATTTGCCCTTTTTTCCCTTGGTGAACAGAGCCCTTTCTTCCTTTTTCTCTGTTTTTTCTTAGCAGTCAATCTCTCTTTGATGACTTTAAGTAGTAAAGACTGTTTTGTTTGGTTTTACACATTATGCAGGTCATAACTATTAGCATACAGACTTTAACCAGAAATAATAGTCCTTTTGTGTTTGTTTTTTTACTGGAAGAAGTGTAGAAATCTGCTTCACTGTTACAAGGTAATGAAGAATGTACAGAACTCTTTCATAGTTTGGTAATTTCAGGAGTGCCTGATCTCAGTTTTTTCCCTGTTATATGACAGATCTTTTTGTCCTGAAAAATGGTATAGTTATAAGTGTATGGGGTTTTGCAATATTTTTAAAGTCACTGATACAAAGCCAAGCTCCCAGAAGGTAAATCTCTGGCATGTTTTTATGTGGGTATTTTGGCAATTTGTATAAAGACATTTTCATACAACACTTACCTAATTATATACTCTTTCTCTACACAGTAAAGACTGGGGGAAAGAAGTGTGGAAAATTGATTTCAGTGAAATTAATGAAAAGCAGAGGTAGCATAATATAACAAAAGAGGTCCTGCAACCCTTGGGGCCTCTTCCTCCTCCTCCCAGACCTGATATATTTTATCAGACAGGTGATCACACAGGTGATCCTAGTGTCCCTCTAGGACAGGGTAGTGAGCACAGGGCTCTGGTTTTAGTCTGATATATTTACTGACAGGCTTACCAACAGCAATAAACAGCATAAATCTCCTTTCAGAAAATAACTACCACATAAGTAATGTGTAAAATATATTAGCGTATTAAATTATTATAGTAACACGTATTAAAGATGTATCTATGAAAGAGCAGTACATTGCTGGATAGTAAAGCACCGTGGTAGACAGCTCTATAGCCCTGTACCCTCTACAGCAAGAATAACCTGGGTGAACATGGTTATTTCCTACTTTTTCTGTCCTGCTGTTTAATGGTCTAGGACATTAAACAGTAAGACAGAAGAAAGTAGAAAATGCAGATGTTCAGGTGTACTGGGTCCTGCTTGGCTTAGAGAGATGACCAAGTATGTCTGAATGCAGGAAAAATATTTTGCCAAATATCATTCTGAGCAGTGATTATCTAAATTTACTAAAAATGGGAAAAATTATTCCATTTATAATGGTAGTTAAACTTTTCAGAATCATGAGCTGTTGAGGTTCTACCACTAAAGTGTAGATGACAAGAAACTCAAACTACAGGCAGTAAAGAGTATAAATGCTCCAGATTAAAGAGCATTACTTGTAAGAAGTAAGGAGCTGTTTGTTTTTCATTTTTTGATACTAGAATAATTTGTCACCATTTCAGGTTTAGAGACACAAAGGCAGGCTTCACACACTTCTGTTGGGTAAAAGGGTTTCCTGTAGGTCCTCAGCACCAAACAGAGGGTCAAGCACTTATGGAAGTCTCCAGATACTAAACTTCCAGAAAACCTTTGAATTTTATGTCAATCAGATGGTTTTTGTAAATTTTATTCACTTTTTTGAAGCACATTTCCCTTTAACCTAATGCCCTGAATGTACAAATAACGTGCCACACACCTTGAAATGCTTCCTTGCCAGTAGTTTGGAAACTGAAGTATTAAAACATATTCTTTGGGTGGTAATTTGAATGCTGATATGATCTAAAAAGGTGTTTAATAGTGGCTTCATGGTTATTGTTTACAAACTGTTCATTCAAACTGGTTGTGTCTTCACACTGGAATTGCTTCATTTCCCTCAAACAGGTACAGATCCCTCTGGTGGTATTATGCAGTTTTGACATGCTTATAGTTGTAAGCCTGTAATTTTTTATGTTTCTACCTAGATAAAAAAAATATTATTGTGAATAACTTTTTGTCTGGAGAACACTTTTCTGCCACTTAAACCTCATCTGCAGTAATTAGTAGAATCCAGGCTAGAAATTTTTCTCTGTATGTTGCAAACCCACTCAATTTCCAACACCTTTCCTAGAGGACTGTGTGTTAATTTACTTCACACCAAGCATTTCCTACTCTCTGAGTACAAAAACAAATGGATATAGAAGTAGCATATTAAAAAAATGTGGGGCTTGTGGAGCATCTCTTTTTAAAGCACAGTCTCCATTCTGCTGAACTGTCAGTCAAACTAATCTGCAGTAATTCCACAAAAAATAAAATATATAATACTGTGAAAAAAGCATAGGTACTGGTAAATTATATTTATATTTCATATCTGAAAATGCTGCTGTAGAGTCTCACTACAGATTCTTAGAAAACAAGAATAAACCTTAAGGAGTTCTATTAAAAAAACAAACAAACCAACCAAGCCAAAACCTGATTGAATGACTGCATTCTCAAATCAGACATTTATTCATGTGCCAAAGTCTGCAAAGATGTGAGGAAAGTATGTTATTATTTCAATTTGCATTAATTTATTGGCAGTCTGAGTTTTCAATACAACCTATAGAAGGGGCAATTGCTCTCCTGAGTAGATTTGGCTTAAAACAGCTCTGGAGTAGCTGAGAATACTGCAAGTAATTCTTGGGAGATTTATGCATTCCCTGAAAATGGATTGCTTTATATTTTGCTCTAGTTGAATTCAAGAGCCTATGCGGAAATATTCCTGGCTTCACTTTTGACATCCATACTGGAAAAGCTGTTGGTAAGTTTCACTAGTTTTAGTCTATTCCAAAAATTGTTTTGCATGATGTTTTTGTGCCTGCATAATGTTAACGAAAATAAGCATTTCATATACCAAAGTTGTTAAATGCCATTTTGGAGTTACAGTGGTGACACAAATTGCGACCAATTTTTATGTAAAATATTCCCTTTTTTTTTTTCACTTCTACATTTTGTTGTGGTATTTTGCTCACCTGCCATCATTCGAGTTCATGATTTTGAATTTTAATCAGTAGGTGAAAAAGCTTTGCCTTCAAAAATAATGTGGGGCTTCCCTGCACATTTGTGAGTTTTGCATCTTGTCCAATACTTAGTGTAGCTCTGTTTTGATCACTTCCTGAACTTGATATGTCATTTTTTGTCATAATGGTTATATGTGTGGTTTTATTATGTGTGCAATTTCTGCTGATTAAAAAGGAACATCTCAACTCAGTTTTAAACACAGTGAAAATGAGAATCCTTGCAGTGTAAAGACATGATGAACTGTATTTAAAACCAGCTCCTCTGCCTTTCAGACATTGATGAGTGTAAGGAAATCCCAGGAATCTGTGCCAATGGAGTTTGCATCAATCAGATTGGCAGCTTCCGCTGTGAGTGCCCCACTGGATTCAGTTACAATGACCTGCTTCTGGTCTGTGAAGGTGATTTGAATTTTGGTTATTTTCCCCCTTAAGCCCCCTTTGGTTATTCCCCTCTTAGCCCCCTTAAGCTTATCTTAAAGGAAAGGGGAACATTTAATTCATGTGGTTTTCAAAATCTAAGAGACAGACTGTGAGTTTTTATAGGGCTCGAGGTTATAAATCAGTTTAAATGCTTATCTTTATTAAGGATGCACATGCACTTAATAAAATCTGTAATTATGTTCTGTCAAGCTCCTAAATAGGTAGTGCTTTTGTTTTGTTTTATTTAAGGGAGAAAATTTAATTCTCATTCTCAGAACTTCTTTAAAAAAAGTATCTTGTTGTTTTTTTCCAACTTATATCTCTTCTGCTACAGTTTTAGAGGCAGAGATACTCTTAGAAGATGACAAAGTCTTGTGTGCTGTAAAGTCAGTAGGAATTTTGTCATTTGTTCAAGGATTTTGTGATGTGCAACCTAAAAAGTTGCAAACCATGCCACTTATTTTTTCAGCTCAAAGGCAAAGAGGAAGGTTTTTTTTAATATAAAAGTTTCTTCAGGCAGATGTTGCAAATTTCCAAAGTTTCTTTGATGCATGGCGAACTGGATTGGTGGGATCCTCTTTCATCCAAAAGGTGACACGGATGAGATGGTATTGATTTTGCTTTCCGTGTGCATTCCCAGCACACAGGGCTGGAGGTCAGGCTGCTCGAGCTTTGTGGGGGACTGAGGTTTCCTCTTGCACAGACAGACAATACAGCGTAAATCTGAGGCAGGTTTGTGATGTCTGATCTCCTTTTTCAGATATTGATGAGTGCAGCAACGGGGACAACCTCTGCCAGAGAAATGCTGACTGCATCAACAGCCCTGGGAGCTACCGCTGTGAATGTGCTGCTGGCTTTAAACTGTCCCCCAACGGTGCCTGCATTGGTGAGAAATCAGATTTTCTCTCCTGCTTTCACCTCATCAATGCTATGCTTGTGTTTCTTTCAGTATCCTTTATTTTCTCTCGCCTTGTGCATTCTGCTGTTTTTCTTTATAGCCATGTTTCTCAGTAAAAGGAAAGAAAAGTGATGTTTTTAAAAAACATTTTCTAGGTATCAGCCAAATCCTGACAGCAGTTTTACAGGAAGTGCTTGCCTACACACCTTGAGGATAAAATGGAGCTCTCTTATGATTCAGATTTACTTGCAGATAATTTTGAATCTGGTTTTAATCATAACAACGGATTGTAAACACATTATTTGTGTAAAACGAGGATATAATGGAGGTCGATAGCGTGCACCATCTGTTTTGTGTTTTTGTTACAGATCGCAATGAATGTCTGGAAATTCCTAACGTTTGCAGTCATGGTTTGTGTGTGGACATGCAGGGAAGCTACCAGTGCATATGTCACAATGGCTTCAAGGCATCCCAAGATCAGACTATGTGCATGGGTATGGAGAGAAAATGCTTTCCTCTATCTGTGTTTTTTTTGGCTGTGGGCTCTTTCCAGCAGGGAAGATGAGTCTAATTTTTTTAGTAGGTTATACTGACATTAAGGTATTTCTGTTTCTTATTTTCTGGGGTTTTTTTTGGGGGGGGGGTTTGGTGGGGTTTTTTTGTTGTTGTTGTTGGTTGGAGTTTTTTTGTTTGTTTTGTTTTGTTTGTTTGTTTGTTTGTTTTTGGTTTGTTTTTTTTTTTTGTGAATAAAGTCTATGAAGCTGTCTTTGGAGGGGATAAATTAATTGAGAAAAAAAAACTCAGAATGAAACAATGTGTTCTGAGATAGCTCCACAGAAATATTTCCACAGAAATACATCATTGTGGCTTATTAGTTTTATAGGATGGATCAGAGAGTGATAGAGCTTGGAGCTAAAACACACATTTTCCAATGATTTAAATCTATTGTGTTCATGTGCCATTTAAAAAAAAATAGAATCCCCCTTTTAATGTTACTTCATACTGATTTCATGTGAAAATGATGATATGATAGAGATGATATAAGAAATAAGATTGAAAAATAAGAATGTTCTTGTTCTTTTAGGTTATAATCTTAGTTCTTAATCTGTTTAGTTTCTAGATGGTTTTAAAATGAAAAGGTGATGCATTTCAACTTTAAATAGATATTTAAAGCTTGTTCAAATTGTAGTGCATATTCATATTTGCCTAAAGTCTTCTCATACTTAAATTAAGTCACATTTGTCAGATGATTAGAGGAGGATATTTGGGAGAGTGACCTGTTTTGACAATGCAAAATTTTGAACTAACAGAACAAAATCCCTGTAGCTTCCAGTTCCCCCTGAAACTCCAAAAATTACTGTAACACACAGGAGACATTGAACTTTAGTGCCTTTTAAAAACTGATATTTGCAAAAGTTTTTAAGCTGTCTTTGTAATTCTGGATGTGATATTGATATTATCCATTTACTTACATAAATTGAATTGCATTTTCAACAATTTTTAATGGGCTCTGAGGTAAAATATGCACATAGCAATTGATCATTTCAGGGCTATGATGCTTTGTACTCAGTCCTGATCACTTGTATATGTTAAAGAAATTAAGTACTGTTAGTATGGAAAACAAAAAGATGGAATGCCCTCAGATAGCTGCACATGCACATTTATTTTTAAAATACACACAAAATTACATCATGTGGTGTTTTTCTCTGTGTGCTGAGAAGCTGTGAAAATCTGTAGTATAAACACAAAATGTGACAGATGAAACGAGGGACCAAAGTTTAGGATGTTGCAGTTGTGCACAGACAAGACATCACCCACACCTGGGAAAAGCAGTTCCCACCTGCAGTTTGTCTCTCCTTGCAGATGTTGATGAGTGTGAACAGTATCCATGTGGAAATGGAACCTGCAAGAACACAGTTGGATCATACAACTGCCTGTGTTATCCAGGATTTGAATTAACTCGTAATAATGATTGTGTGGGTAAGAGACCTAATCCAAGCTCTTATTTTCATTGCTGCTGGCTTGGCATGCCAAGGAGGACAGTGTGTAGTTAAACAGAAGAGATGTCAGGGTGTGAAGAAAATTAATTGAGTTCAGTAGCTTCTGCTGTAACCAGTCCTAGAGATTAATCCTTACTGTCATGTTTTAAAGTAATTAAAAGTGTTTTTTAATTACAGCCAATTGAGGTTACAATTACAGCCAATATAATATTATCCTAAATATCTGGACTACTGGGGCAACTTTCACTGATGTTTTAATGCATTTCTCAACTCCTTTAGACTATTTACTGCACATCTCTGGCTGTAGGCACAGTGCACAGGCACCACCTCCAGTGCTGCCTCATGAATTTAAAATAATTCCTTTATTTCACCCTTTTGCTTGACTCTTGCACAGGGTGAGAAAGAAGAAGCAGACCAGCAGTAAGAAAGGCAGGACAGCTGATCTGTAACCTGCCAGATCTGCTCTCCTAAAATGAGCAAAGTTATACAGAGCTGACACAGGCATTGCTAATTCACATTTCATAAAGAACTGGGCACCAGGGTATCTGATGAGTTTAGATGAGTTTAGCCTATTTTAATTCCTGGGCTCTTGCGATCAAACAACCAACACCTTCCTGGGCTGAGAAAAGGCTCATAAACCTGGAGATCTCTCTTGTGCAGAGCATAAGCAAAGAAAAGGGGAGGCTTTACACTCCTTCCTGCTACAGAAGGAAGATACAGCAAAGTCTGATTGTTCTTTCAGCTTCAGAACAGAACTAACACATCTTTTGAAAAGCATTTTAATCCTCTTCTTGCCCAGGAAAGAAAAAAATTAAGTAACAAGAATGTGTTGGGAAGTACAAATTTTTCTTACATCATGATGCTTATCCAATATCCTTTTCATTTATTCTTCCTCATCCATATTTCTCCTAATGCAGTGCTCCTTTAAGTCTGCATTACTGGAGTAACCCTACAAAATAACAAGCATTTTAAAGCAAAATTTTCAGAACTGCTATGAAGGAAAAAGTCATCTCGTGGAAAGCAAATTGCATAGTCCAAAACTTGGATTGGCAGGGACAGGTTTTTAGGAGGAAACTCCAAGTGCATATGGATCCAGATAAAATCCAGAATACCCCATGTAACATTTTCTCCTCTGTTGGTAGACTTGGTGTCATGCAGTCCCTTAGCAGTAATTGAGTATCTCCAGATGCAGTAATTGAGCTAATGCTAGAAGCCTGGAAATTGTAATACTCTATAAAAAAGTGTGGTTTACTTAGAACTTGCATATTAATGCTCGAGTGAGAGTGACTTTCCTCCAGCTGTCACCTGATTTCTTGTTGCTACAAAATGTGCCTTTTCCAGAGAAATGCTAAGTATTGAAACTTGGGCGTGTTCATAACATACTGTATGTAGACTGTTGGGACTCAACTCTCACTTCTTGGGCTCAATTTTGAAATTTTTATTTTTTTTTTTATCAGATATTGATGAGTGCAGTTCCTTTGGTCAGGTGTGCAGAAATGGACGGTGCTTCAATGAAATTGGTTCTTTCAAATGTTTGTGTAATGAAGGATATGAGCTGACTCTGGATGGCAAGAATTGTGTTGGTACGTATGAAACCACATAATGTTCAAGTACTGATCAGCTGAAATAAACTAATAGCTTCCATGGAGAGGGAAGCAACACACTCTGAATATCTAAATATCAAAAGAGAATGATGGTGACTTAAATTAAAACATTTTTGTTTTTAATAGTTGTTGCTCTTCAAGCAATTAATTGTCTTAGAAAAATAAAATCAGTACAGAACCCTTCAGTGTTTTTCATGTTCTGTTACTATAAGAATTACAAGATTCTAAACCTTTCTTGATTTCCTCCATTCCCCAAAGACACCAACGAGTGTGTGGCGCTGCCTGGTTCGTGCTTTCCTGGTACCTGCCAAAATTTGGAAGGATCATTCAGGTGCATCTGTCCACCAGGATACGAAGTAAAAAGTGAAAGTTGCATTGGTAAGGCAAGTTGTAACTATTGCCCTGAACAATTTAAGAATTTGTATGTGGTTCTAATTGGGTGTAAAGCAGTTGTACACCCTAATGGTTGTTAATGTTTCCTGACTTAAGGTGACAGGGAATAGGTATGAAAACTCTTTAGGGAGAGATTTTAAAAAGGAATGCAGAAGAATATTTTGTAATGTATAGTACTCTATTTTGAACATTGATGTCTTCATTAATGCAAAAAAAAAAAAAACCTTTTAAAAAGGAAGTATTTTATCTTTCAGTGACTTTTGAAAAAGTATAATTCATATAACAGATGTTCTCACTGTATTTATGTAATTTTTACAGAAGGCAGTTATTGGCAATCAATTAATGAACTAAGCATTTGGGTTCAGAGGGAAATGAAGTTTAAAAATCTTGATAAAATGACAATGCTTAAAGGAACAATCAGTTAAGTCAGTTTCTTCTAACAACAGTTTTCTGATTTTAAAGTTTTATATAATGCCTCTCAAGTGCTGAGATTCCCAGGAGGAGAAGGAGCATACAGCAGACCTGTCATCAATTTTTATGTTCTAGTTTGTTCATAGAGGTCTCATCTAAGGCCTTGAATGCCATTCAGGAGCTGAATGTCACACACTGAACTAAGATTAGCTGTGGCAGAGAGCAAGAAATAAATCCAAATTACAAATTGCTTTTCCAACAGAGCAAAGTATTGGATACTGTGAATTTATTGGGCATTTAATATTTGACTTGCTGCCACCTAATTTGTGTGGCTGCGGGAAGAGGAACCATTTTGAGCTTTTTGTCTTGAACAAAAGGATTTATTTTTCTAAGCCCCAGAGTTCTCTCAGCCACTTGTATCATGCCACCAATATTCAGTTTGCCTGCCAACTTCATGATTTCTTTTGGCAGCTGCTAGCTCCATATTAGCAGTTATGTTTGAGGTGAATTCAAATCACCCACAGTTCTAAAGTCATGAATATAAAATAATGGAAGCTTTTGATTTTCAAGGAATGTTACTGCTTATGGCCACTTTGGTACCTCCTCAGAATCTATGTTTTTGAGCATCAGTGACTCTCAGACAGGTTTTTGCCCAAACTGAATGAAAGAGGTTTGCTTGCATTCTTTTGTCATTCTGTCACTTGTCCAGAAAATCTGAAGCTAGAGCTCCTAGGAAATGCTCATATTATCACATGTGATTGCACTAAAACTTAGATTAATGTTTTGACAGCCCTTGTAGCAGATGTTCCCCATTATTCTCTGTTGACGTTGTGTGCAAACAGCTTTATGAGAATCCATTGCTGCTGCCTGTGGGGTGAAGGTTGTCAGTGGCTGATTGTTTTGTGAGCTCAGGGTGATTGTATGCAGGAGAAAATAGAAAACTGGGGCCACAGAAAAATTTGTGTGATATATTCCCTTCCAATGTATAGGAATAAAGGGGAAAGGACTTGTTTACTTCCGCAGTCTGGCTAGTCACCTCTCCATTGTGGCCACAGAAAGAGCCTTAGCACCAAACCATTCATTGCAGTAACAATGAGCACTTCAAAAGATCGATTTTCCTATGCAGCAGAATTGCTGAGCTCTGTATATTAACAGCTACCACAGCAACTGGGAAATTATTTACCACTCTCTCTGAAATAACCTGACTTAGAATACCTGACACAGAAAGTAGCCTGGGAAGCTACTGCAGAGTTCAGCCACATGCCAGATTGTGCTGCAGTGGTTTGTCCATGTGCTGTACCTAATGGCAATTTCTGAAAGTGGGACTCAAGGTAGTACTTTGCAGAAGTTACATCACTGAATCTACTCTCCACCTGATTTCTTCCATTGCTCCACTTATATTGCCCAAATAATAAACACTGTATTTCCATTGTTTTCTTACGTGCTGAAAACAGGACGGTTTTCTAAAATTCAGTGCAGCAGAGAATTCAGTAAATATGTGCAAAAATGGCACTGCAAAATTGAGTATCCAACATCCATGAAGCTAATTTTCATGGAGAGAGCCTTGTTCCTGCCTATACTATGATCAAGCTCAGTGTGGCTTTTACTGTGGAGTGCTTATATAGCCACAGGCTTCTGTGATGGTCATTCCAATATTCCTTACTGAAAGACTCAAAAACATGGTACTTTGAAGATTCTTTAAATACAGCCCATAATTTATCAGATTAGAATTACCTTTAAAAATTACCGTAGCAAGGCAGCTTATATATTCTTTTAGTGTTTGCAGAATAGGATAAGTTAAAATATAGTTTTGAATAATAAATATGTAAAATTAAGGGTTTGTTAATATATTTTTTCCTGCTTTGTCTGTTGTCTGTACAGATGGGGGATGTATACCTGATACTGTTTGAGCTGCACAATTTTGCAGGCACTTGACATTTACACAAAATACTAATACTTTGGCTTACGCCTTTGACAATTATTTAATATAATATGTAATTATATACTGCTATTAAAAGAAATTTTAACTGTCTTCTAATAGTAAGAACAATATATTATTGATTATTCAGTAGAAGAGGAGTAATTTTTAAATAACACAATGAGAGTGGCAGTAAAAGACTGCTAAATATAAATCTGGACATTTAAATACAATTAAAGGTGTCACTCTACTAGCTATAATTTCAATCCCAGAATCTGACAGGAAGCATGAAAAAAATATGCCTTAATTGAAAAGAACTCTCAACATACAGATTCTAAAAAATAATCTTTGGATGTTTTATAGAAATATTTTTGTTTACAGAAAAATATTTTCCTATGGGAAATGTATTCTGAAAGCATTTACTTAATGTTTATATTTTGAATATAATGAAGAACAGAGAATGCTATTTAGAAAAGAATATTGTGCCAGTGAGAAACTCTAATTTGAAGGAGTCAGTGAAACCTACACCTGCTTTAACTCTTGGCCACTTTGTTGGAAGCTGCTCCAGTTAAATCAATGAATAAATAAATAAGCAATCTTCCTTAACCAAGGGTCGTTCACAGCAGGTGAGGCTATGGTGAAGTTTCCCCATTGCTTTTTACAGATATTAACGAGTGTAACGAGGATCCCAACATCTGCCTCTTCGGGTCCTGTACCAACACCCAGGGAGGTTTCCAGTGCATCTGTCCCACGGGTTTTGTGCTGTCTGAAAATGGGCGGAGGTGCTTTGGTGAGTTCATGGATAAGGAATGCAGCAACTCGATCTAAAAGATAACAGGTACCCTGTGGAAACCCCTCCCAGTTTATATCTCCACGAGGATTGCTAAATGCCTTTTAAAAAAGTATGCAAAATACAGGTCATAGTGTTATTTCTCCCAGGGCAGACAGTCATCATATGACTTGGGAGAAGGTTCTAGCTCTGCATAACTTTATTTTCTTCTCCTAGATACTCGTCAGAGCTTCTGCTTCACCAACTTTGAGAATGGGAAGTGCTCAGTGCCAAAGGCTTTCAACACCACAAAGGCCAAGTGTTGCTGCAGTAAAATGCCAGGAGAAGGATGGGGTGATCCTTGTGAGCTCTGTCCAAAGGAAGAGGAAGGTACATATTTAAAGTTTGAAATTTGTTGCTGGAGGCAAAGGAGGAGGACATTTGTGTTGTGCTTTTTGTTCATTAGAAAGAGAGATCTTTCTGGCATTTGCTCTTAGTGGCTTTTTCTATAATGATTTTTCAAGCCAGCCAAAGGAATAAAATTAAATGGAAGAAACCACAGACATAGAAAAATACTTATTTATTGGTTTTGCTCTGTACTAGTATCCCTTTTGGGTGACTCTAACCATCTGTCATGATTCTATCTCTCACTTGCTCTATTTTTTAAAGAAAATGTATCTCTACAGTTGCTTTTCAGGACCTGTGCCCATATGGTCATGGAACTATTCCTGGAATTGATGACACACGTGAAGGTAGGTATTCTTCTGAATATAAAAAGGAAATACTGATACTTGAAACTATACTTGGATTTTATAGCATGTGACAGTTTACTCCTCACACCTGCTGGTGACAAGAGGCTGACCTGTAAAATGTGTTAAAAGAGCACTTTGTGAAGTGCATGGCTTGAGACAAACATAATAGGCTGCTTAGGTTTTTTAAATGCTTTTTTTAAGACTTGAAATGCATCAGCTGAGTGGCCGTTAATATCTTCCTGCTTTTCAGATGTCAATGAATGTCTTGAAAGCCCAGGAATTTGCTCCAGTGGTCACTGCATCAACACTGATGGATCGTTTCGCTGCGAGTGCCCCATGGGCTACAACCTGGATTTCACAGGAGTGCATTGCATAGGTGTGTGCAGTTGTAGGAACTGTAACTCTTGAATTTAAAACACAACTTGTCCCTGTTCTCTTCACTCTGCATTCATTCATTATGTACAGATACAGATGAATGTTCCATTGGCAACCCCTGTGGAAATGGAACGTGCACTAACGTGGTTGGCAGCTTTGAGTGCAGCTGTCACGAAGGGTTTGAGCCAGGCCCAATGATGAATTGTGAAGGTAACCTGTCCTCTTCATTTCTTTTCCTTTGGTTTTTGTCCCATCCTCAGCATTCAACTTAATTAGCCATGTCTTTCTTGCTGTAATAACTTGGAGGAATAAAAAGTTTCTATGTTTTGAAACAGGTCATTGGAAAAGAAATCTGAATTAACTTAAGCAGAACTTTTAGTTTATCACAGAACTTCCCCCACTCAATGAGAATGCCCCATGTGGGGCATTCTCTCAAATGTTAAATTTTATTAATCACAATTAGTTTGCTTTCTGAAGCTGACATTTCTCACCACACAAAAGTACATTAAATATGAGTATATAATAAAAATCTGAAATAAGCCTGCCCTAACTTGCCATACTAAGCTCAAGTAGTGATATGCCATTATTCTTAAGCAGAGCGTTCAATTTTCTCTAGTTACTCAAAAGCTAAGGTTTGAATTACTACCTTTCTGATAATTCTAGCTGAAAAGAGAAGCATAGGTGTAATAAAACCTTCTCGGTGATTGTTTTGAAGCGTGGTGGAGAATGACTGTTGTGTTTCTCTCTGCTCAGATATCAACGAGTGTGCTCAGAACCCCCTGCTCTGTGCCTTCCGCTGTATCAACACTTATGGTTTCTATGAATGCACCTGCCCAGTGGGATATGAGCTAAGGGAAGACCAAAAGATGTGCAAAGGTAATGACTGATGCATAAACATCTCCCCCTCTTCCATCACCAACACATAACCAAATATTTCTGTGCATCTTGCATTCATCCTCTTGGTGGAATGTAGCAAACAGCCCAGCAGGTGATGATTTGTTCCTTCAGAACTCACAAGAAGCAGTATTTAATGTTTTTGTCATCAAGTGTAACTTGATGAGGGACTGCAAAGCCAAGAATGTCACAGTGGTGGATTTAATCTTTAACATGACAAGATGGTGCAGCTCATGAGGATCAAGATAACTGCATATAATCATAGATTTTGGACTTTTCCTTCAGTGCTTCTATTTAGGGAAGCCTGCACGTCCTTCCCCTTGAAGTTGTCTTCAGGAATTGAAGCTAATGGAAGAAAGTTCAAAGACAAAATATATATATATTTTTTTCCAGATCTGGATGAGTGTGCTGAAGGTCTCCATGACTGTGAATCAAGAGGCATGATCTGCAAAAATCTGATTGGTACCTTCGTGTGCATTTGTCCTCCTGGGATGACCCAGAGGCCTGATGGAGAAGGATGCACAGGTAAAGCTTAGAGGGGGAAGGAGACATCTAATGGAATATGCACAAGCAAAGAAAAAAAAAATTCTTAATATATATACATATGTATAAATCAGAAAACAGTTAATGAAGAACACTTAAGATACCTAATGATGCTAAACATCTTAAGCTTTCCATTTTGTTTCAATGTGAGCTCTTACTGACTAATAAGGATTCCAGAATAAAAACTCCCCTGCTCTACAAATAATCCAGATGTTTTTCAGACAGTTGTTAGATCTAAAAAATTAATTTGCCAAACAAATGAGACCTCAGTTTATGGGTAGAAAAAAAGATTTTCATAATAAGTAGTTATATTTCCTTTAGCATTAGTATAAATAATGTGTCACTTCTTTAAATAATTAAGACTCCTAGGATTCTGAAACCACCTATAAATGCCTTAAAGGATGAAATATTTGGAAAATGCCATAGTTCAAAACAATTCTCCATCCTGGAAGTAAACAAGCACCTTTCCTCCATCATTTACTCGATTAGTTGAGGGAAAGACAATAGCTATATTTTAGAAAATTGTACTTTCTTCTGGTATATAGAAAAAAACCCAGCAGCATTCCAAAATTCCCACCTAAGTGAACATTTTCAATTGAAGTATTTTATAAAAATGCTCCTTCGGCAAGAGAATGAGTACTCTCTTTTAGAGATATTTATGATTTTTTTTTTATTTCACAGAAAATAATCTTTATTAATAAGAATTTGTCCTTTCTTTTTGGCATATAATTCTGCCTTTAAAGAACCAGTGGTTCTTCTGAGTTTTATTGTAAGCATCTAAAAAATTTGTGTAATTACTTACAGTATGTGTGCCATTAGCTATGGAAGAAAACACATGAACACTGTAAACTTTCAGGAAAATAATATGTGGACTGAAATATAGCTTATTATGGGAGAAATCAAGTGCATTCAAAGACCCTTGATGATTACAGAGTGAAGATTTGTCACTCAAATCATGCATGTGTTCCAATTTTATTTAAATTTTATTTTCCAGGTAAATGTGACTGCAACTTGCTCTGCTGTGTTTTCTTCTTGTTTAGTTGATGTGAAGCAATTAAAGCTTTTGGAATGGAATAGGGTAATTGAATAGGATAATTCTCCTTGGAAAGCCCTTTCCATGCTTCATCAGTTGATTTTCCACATCTTGAAAATATTTTGCAAATGTTACATGGAATATTTAATGTACTCTATAGAGTCTGATATATTTTCTTGTAATTAATTGCTGCGGTTGTTTTCTATGTAATTATATTTTAGTTTTGTTTGTATTGTTTCTATTACTGTTATAATTTTTATTAATGTTGATGTTTTTTTTGTACAGATGAAAACGAGTGCCGCTCCAAGCTGGGTGTCTGTGAAAACGGGCGTTGTGTGAATGTTGTTGGCAGCTACAGATGTGAATGTAACGAAGGATTCCTGTCAAGTCCATCAGGCACTGAGTGTCTTGGTAAATGTCTCTTTTGTACATATTTCATCTCACATTAGAGTGTAAATGTAGAGAGAAAATTGGGCTTCTGAAAGCTTAACAGCTCTCCTATCTACAGAAATCAAATAATTACACTTTTTAGTTAAATAATGATACAAAATTAAATAATATTATTAAATATTATTAGATAATTATAGGAATTAACAGCTTGTAACAATCAGACCTCACATAGAAGGGTCTTAATTCCATAGGACATCAATGTAGGCAAAATACAGAGATTTTTGAAGAAGGAGAATTTAGTCATCTTCAGAAAATTCAAAAATGGATGCAGAGTAAAATTGAATGTTTGCTTATTCAGAATGTAATCTTAAGCACCATATGGCAACCAGACATCTGAATTCTCTTCACGTTTAATTCAGACATAAAATACTGTGATTTTACTACAAAATTGCAAGTTTTTTTTTTTTTTTGTTTGTTTGTTTTTTTTTTGAGGCAGTCCTGCAAGATAAATGCAGGGTTTTTGTTTATCAACCTGTCTTTTCTTTTTAATACATTCATATTTGTCATTTGCACTACAGAATTCATCATTCCCTTTCTTGGAGTCAAACCGAACTGCAAAAATTTTTCTTGACCAGTGTTCAGGTGTACATACAGTACTGAAAGGGTGTATTTATTTATTTGTGTATCTTCCATGAAAAAAGCATAATTATCTTATACCATCAATATAAAACCAGTTCCCTCTGAGTTGTCATGAGGAGTGTGCTGACTTCATGGCTGAGCAATAACATTGAAGTGTAGGGTATTTCCTAAGGATTAGAAGCAGATGGGAAGAGAAAACTGCAGTTAACCCCAGCCAGTCATTAATGCCAAAGAAATACCCTGTTTGGAGGTCATTATTGCTTTTCTGTATTTAATATGTAATTTTCTCATTATTTTCTGCCTTGGGAAGGTTTGCTTTTTGCTGCTCTTCCTTTTGGGTTTCCTAGGTTAGAAATTACAATGAAAAATGTATCTGGCAGAAGCACAGGATTTCTTCTGAATTATAGCACAAGCATTAAGTCACAGATTACATTGTTTTAAATACATTGTGCAAACCTTTATATTTCATTCACGTTTAAATTCATTCCACATCTCAAACTGGGGACAAAGCATTCATGTGTTCTTCACATCATGTCCCTAAAGACCTGCACAATATTCCTGTCTGGGAGAAGAGAAATCTTCAGTGTTTTTCAAATCACTACAGCAAATATTTTGTTTCACAGAACTGACACTTTCAGTGATGACAGCTTTATTTGATGGAAACAGTTAAGTTACCAGGTGGGCAAATGAAGTGTTCTCTAAAGCTGAAGTTTGTCTTTTGCCTAATTCTTGTAAGAAATGCACAGATTCTTCTAATCTGTAAAAGACAAGGTCAGCTGAGTATTGATACATTTACACATTCTGAGGGATCACTACTAGCTTTGAAAGAAAGAAAAATAATTTTAATTTAAAAACATAAGCATTCTCAGATCAGTAATTGAAATGTCTCCATTTTAATCAAGAAATAAGACAGGTGACAGAGCCTACATAGAAGATAAAATCTCTGCAAGATTTAGAGTTTCTATTAGCCCTGAAAACTGGGATTTCTTTCCTCCTCAGCTGCCTGTTTGAAGGTAACCTGTAGGAGCCCCATGACTTTAAAACTTTGCTCCCCTTTCCTTATTGATAAATATTAACCAAAAAGTTTAAAAATTAAAACAGGGTTTGACAGGGCCATACCGATAAGGCCATACAATTCTATTTTTTTCCTCAACAAAATCTAGGACTGCCACTAAAAAGGTATTGAGTTGCATATACACTTTTAAGTTCTATGGATTTTTTATTCAAACCACAGCAGGATATTTACAGATGATCAAATGTGTTATTTTGGCCAGTAAGACAAAAAAACAAAGCAAACTTCTAACCCCACTCCAAATAAATCATTCAAATGCAAACACAGCTGAAGTGGGAGCTCAGTTTTGCCCTCAGGCTGTTTCACTACCAAGGGCACAACTTTCCAGCAAGCAAAAGTCTTACCCAGCTCATGCAGGTAATGAACATTGGGGGTGTCTTAGATATGTTTGAAATGGCAGCATATTGCCAGAACATACAACAATTCTGAAAGGCTAAATCAAGAGGGGCTTGATGGTAGCTAATAACCTTCTGCTGCTTGCCTCTATTGACAGAGAGCCAGAATAACACACCAGATGCTTAATGGGGCGGATCTTTACCTCCTTCCCTATCCCAGCCTCTCTCCTTCTTCCTCACAGATAACCGCCGGGGGTTTTGCTTTGCTGAGGTTCTGCAGACCATGTGCCAGATGGGCTCGAGCAGCCAGAACCTTGTCACCAGGTCCGAGTGCTGCTGTGACGGGGGCCGGGGCTGGGGGAACCAGTGCAGGCTCTGCCCCCTCCCCGGAACCTCCCAGTACAAGAAACTCTGTCCACATGGATCAGGCTACACCACAGATGGAAGAGGTATTTGCAGGGATGAGAAGAGACAGAAAAGGGGAAAAGCATATGCTTGCATGCTTAATAAAATGCACGATTGTCTTTGAAGTTCCTGTGGAGAATTTCCTGTTAAACAGCAGAGTTTGATTTTTCAAATAATGCTGAGAGACCAGAAATTAAAAACACATTTGGCAGTAGCTGCAAACAGATCAACTGGGCAGGATTTTCAGGATTTAGGATCTGGTTGGAAGTACTAGCCAGTAACTAAAAGCTAGAAATTATCCCAAAGCTTTTATATTGCTGAAAACTTGGAGACATGGCAAAGGCACCAACCATCTCATTTAACAATGATATCACAATGCTTTGCAGGTACTACTTCCACACAGAAAGAAGCTAATGTGTATTTTTAATATTGGTGATAATTTTTGACATGGAAGTAGTCGTAAGAAAATTTTCTTGTGTGGGGTTTGTGTTTGGAGTTAGCAAAACTGGAATCTGAGTACCCAGTGAAACAGCCAGAAGGTGTTGGTGCAAAGAACAGTAATGAAATTTGAAAGATGTTTGGCTTTGGAGTCAGATCAATTTTTAAAGAGGGAGAAAGTTCCTGCCAGAAGCATGATGATGAGGAACTGCAAGAATGGAAGAGAAGAAAAAAGTAGAATCGAAAACTGAGACATGACATATTTAATAATTTCTATACAGATATTGATGAGTGTAAGGTCCTGCCAAACCTGTGCAGGAATGGGCAGTGCATTAACACCATGGGCTCCTTCCGGTGCTTTTGCAAAGCTGGCTATACCACTGACATAACTGGCACATCTTGTAATGGTAAGATTCATTAATTAATCATCAGTTGAAGTAATCATAAATTTTTCTAAGTTGTTACACAGTGATGTACCAAACTTTGTGAACCCTTGTAGCAAACCACTTTTTTTTTTCTCTGTTTCATGTCCTTTATTTCTTTTCCTAATATGCATTTCTGGTTTTGTGTTTCATTTGTGGAAATGGAGAAACAAGCCCTGCTGGCAGTATTTCTGGAGTAGAATGACCACTGAAGTTTGTTAAAGCTGTACAACCCATTTAAGTGACAAACCAGTTCATGACTTCACGGTCTATATTTTTCCCACTTTTTTGTTGGTTTGCAGGTCCAAGTATACCACAGTATACCAAAAAGTAAATATTTGTTGCTTAGATGAAAATACCAATGCCACTCTCACTCTAGTGTGTTACTCCTTCAAGACAGTTTGTTGTGGTAGTGGCAGCCCCATATAAACTCCACAGCAACACATTCATAGAGAAAGGAATAGGACCCCTGAACAAATGTAAATAGGGGACTTCCTTCTGTGTGCATTTTTCTCTAAAATGTTGTGCTGTGTAGCAAGCATCTTCCTGTCAGAAAGATGAGGACAAAAGATAACTTGATATTTTCCTCTCGTTAGATCTTGATGAGTGCTCCCAGTCCCCCAGACCATGCAATTTTATCTGCAAGAACTCAGAAGGGAGCTATCAATGCTCATGTCCCCGGGGCTATGTGCTTCAGGAAGATGGAAAGACATGTAAAGGTAGGAAGGTTATAGACAGTACCTTTTAATTTGGTTACAACTTAACTTAAAAGGAATTGGTTCTGAAGTGTGATATTTTTATCAATTTTGATTAAATGTGCCTCTTTGTCGACTTTTTTAAGACAACAACATCTCTTACTTCCAGATCTTGATGAATGTCAAACCAAACAACACAATTGTCAGTTTCTCTGTGTCAACACCCTTGGAGGCTTCACATGCAAATGTCCACCTGGTTTTACACAACATCACACAGCTTGTATTGGTAAGAAAAACACTGGTTTTCTTTCATAAGCCTTTCTGTAAGAACAACATTCTCAACTATCTCTTGTGTTTTTTATGCAGAGCAGTAGAGGGTAGAAAGCAGATTTTGAAAAGAAGCAATTACAGTTAAAGTAAAAATTAATCTATCTAGTCTGTCCACTATTTCTATTTTCTTGGTTAATAAAGAGTTGTAGATATTTAATACATGTTATTATGTTCTAAGTACAACCATATGGAGACAAAAGGGTGAATTATTAAAATCTCATTTAAAATGTAGTTAACCAAAACCAGACTGCATTTTCTTTTTTTAGTTGATACAGATGTCTTCAGATCTTATGCATATGTATAAATCTTGCCAACTGAAACTGTTTTAGTTCAGCTAACACAAAAGGGCAGCATTTTTCCAATATCATCAATTACATGCCTGCTCTTCCACACTCCTATCACAACTGAACTATCCCTAGCACTTCCAATTTATTAATTATTCCTAGCTCTACATGAGTCTCCAGTTCATCTGGCATTTAACAATGAAAAGGTACAGAATAAAATGCTGCACTTTTGTGAATTTTGTTTTTATGTTACATGAACATGTCTAACATCATGCTTCAAGGTAAATTCATCTTCTCTCTCCTTTATATTTTGAAGATAACAATGAATGTGGTTCTCATCCAACACTGTGTGGATCAAAAGGAATTTGTCAAAACACTCCTGGAAGTTTTACCTGTGAATGTCAAAGGGGATTTTCACTGGATTCTACTGGATTAAACTGTGAAGGTAACTAGGAACAGTCAGATTTTTTTATGGTGAGAATCCTTATTTCAGTTTCTAGTGAACCATTTGATGCTAAAGACAGAGAAATCAGAGCAGCAGGCATAGTAAAAGTAATTACAAAAAGAAATTGGGAAGTATTTGACTAATTTTAAGTATAACAAAAGCATATGCAAGAATGTACTGCCTCAGTACAGAATTTTTACACAAATGAGGATAAAAAGGTGATTGTTTAGTTGAACTCTTCAACAGTTGTTTTCAGGCTGCCATTTAAACTTAACATAGGTTTATGCATCTAAAAGTTTAGTAGTTATGTGGGGCTTTTTTACATTTATGTCTTCATATGTCTAAGCAGAATCTCTGTACAATTTTTATTTTGGTTAATTCTAATTACATTAAATTCTAAATTCTATACTCAATTCTTCTACCACAGAGTTACACACTGAGAAAGCCAATTCACTGTCAGTTAAAAATGCAGGTTATATTGATGGAGCTTTATCTCTCTCTGTTGGCCTAAGGGGAAGCCTCAGTTAGGAAATCTGTATTTGAGAGCTCCAGACTTCTCAGTGGGCCTCAGTTATTGAGCAAAGAAGAAAATAAAAGGCAGTACAAGGCCACCTGGCTGCTCAGAATTAAAAATGCAAGAGCGTACATGAAGAAATTTATGACCTCTCAAAATACCAACAAGTCTGATAGAGCATTTAAAGCAGGAATTGATATTTAGGGCCTATTTCTAGGTCAGCAGTCCAGAATATATGTAGCTAGAAGTTTTAATAAGATTTATTTCCTGCCAGTTTACTTTGTTCTCATAAAGTACATATATCCTGGTGTGCCTATAGAACAATTTTTTTTTTAAATTTTCTGCTTGACTTGCATACTGTGCCTTAAAAATTAGGGTGCTTACTTATTTCCTATAGCAAATACAATTTAAGATGTCTGAGTTTTTAGAATTTGGAGGGTGGGATGGTAGTGGCTGTCACCTTTTATTAACACTTGTCTCAGAGATTTTTAATGTGGCTTTTTATTTTCAATTGCAAAGACATCCAAATTTGACATTCAAACACTAAACTATGTTTCAGGAAACTGAAAGCTTATCCCTAGATGGTTGGTTTAAAACTGAAATTACAAAACCCTTCAAATTTTAAGCATTATGCTAAAGCAACACCATGTGGGATTACTGGGAATAGTGTTTATTCTCCAAAATTGAGTACTGAAAAGGCTGAAGAATTAAATTAAGGCTAGGTGATAACAAACTTCTGATCCAGCAGTGTTTGGCAGTGGGTGTAATCCTGTGTCATGCTGTGCTTCCCTCCTGAACACGCAGATGTGGATGAGTGTGATGGAAACCACAGGTGCCAGCACGGCTGTCAGAACATCCTGGGTGGATACAGATGTGGGTGCCCACAAGGATTTGTCCAGCACTACCAGTGGAATCAGTGTGTTGGTAAGGAAACAAACAGCACAGAATTTAAACAGCAAATGTACCAGAGTGTTTAAAGGGACACCAGCAGGCAAGGGCAAGAATGAGCAGAACAAAGAGTGTGCAACAAAAATCTTCTGTATTTGTCTCCCAATCCTTCCTTACACTTACTACTCCAACATAAATCAATAACAGGAAGTAGCAAGAAAACACACTCAGTCTTTTGAAACTCTCTGTGACAATTTTCTTTCTTAGAAAGATCTGCATTCTGACCTGTTTCTTCTGTGAAAAATCTCCATCATTGAATGTTCATTGAATTCCTGAAAGTATCAATGTGAATACCTCTGCTGAGAAAAAAAGCATTAAAAAACCATACCTGTCATAAAAAAAACAAAAAACAAAAAACAACAACAACAAAAAAAACAACACAAAAAAGCATAAAAAACCATTAGCAATGTAAGAATTCTACAGAATAGCATCTAAAGCAAATGGTGAGAAAATAATCAACAGAACCATTAAGGGTTTCCTTCTTCCAAAATACAGTCTTAAGGGCCAGCATTAGTTCTTTGTGCAGGAAATGGGACAAATTAGAAAGCTTAGGAGTACTGTTTAGATTTACCTCATTTAGTCCATCACTTGAACTAAGCTATATCATAGACAAAATAAAATGTGGGATTTTTTGTTACTAAAAACCAATACACACAGAAAAAATGTCACTCAGTGCTGTTCACAAGGGCCAATACAAAATATTTACATTTTCAGGTTAGTTTATATGGTTTTCTGTCAATGGTATCAGAGCATGACTGTGAGCACCACCATAGATTTCATTTAGGCTGACTTTACTGTCCTGATTCTATACATAAAAATTAGTTTATTCTACCAATTTTAGCATTAAGTAGCAGCACACCAGCCAGTGTCTCTCAAGTCCCAATCACCGTGATCACTCCTGACTTAATACTGCTCTTCAGCAAAGAAAGCAAAGGACTGGGGCAAGAGGGACAGAATGCACAATAAACAGTTCCCACTAAACCCCAAAACAGCTTAAGTTTCTGTAAATCATAGTCCTCAAAAGAATCTCCCTCCAAGTGACTGCAAACAAAAATGGCAAAGCATTCACCACTGATCTTGGTGAGATAAACTGAGGTGAGGAAAACCTACAGGTTTTAGAGAAATGCCTTGATGAGACAAATAAAATAACCATGATACCAGCTACCAAAACCTGACTTTCCATCTTTCCATACCACAATCTTCCCTTTTTTTTTTTTTTTTTT